TGGTCCACCTTATCTGGAAGAGTCTGTAATGAAGCCAGTTCCTCCAGCTGAGCTCTGAGGGCTTCCTCTGCTTCACGAGATGCCATCAGCTCTTTACTCAGGCTTGTCACTGTTCTCTCAAGTTCCACACTGTCTATCAGATCTGCACACAAAGAACATCTTACAGCTCCCATCTTATTTTACAGACTGAATGCACATACTCACAGCCTGATTAGCAGAGTGACTTATAAACAGCCTGACTTTAAACCTACTTTTTGGTACTTTTCCATCTAGCAGAGTGGTGAGCTTGGTGTTCTCATCAAACGCGACGTTCAGCTCTTTCTGGAGGTCGCTCTGCATCTTTCTGTAGCGTGACTTCTCTGTCTCAAGCTGAAAGCGCAGGCTGTTCACCTCAGCTTCCAGCTTCTCATGATTGGCAGTCAGAGTCACCTGGAGAGACCATGACAAGAAGATAAAGAAAAGACAGCGATATTGATAACTGTGGTGTATATGATATAGATAAGTAGAATATGAGTAGTAGAATAATGAGCTTTGAGTGGTCAGGAGACTACAAAGGCACTATTTAAGTGTAGTCCATTTACCATTTAACTTCTCAGTAGATTATTAGACGACAAAACTGTTAATGCCACTTACATTCTCCTCCTCCAGAGCGATGTGTTCACTGCGCAAGACAGCCCATTCTTTCTTTGTGTCTCTGCTGACCCCCTCTGCATCATCCAGAGAGCGACGAAGCTTCGCCACCTCCTGCACCAAGTCCTTACCGCTCTGCAAGAAGGCAACATGACAGAATTAGTCTGCTTCAGGACAGATGACAGGAGATTCACCAATCCACCTTCTGAGATTCCGATACCTTATTTGGAATTTGACAATGATTTTTCTGCTGTCTCCAGTGATCTGACTACAGTTACTCTTAAACCTGGGTTTGCATATGTGATCTGAGTGAGGGACTAAAATACAATTAAAATGTTCCAAGATAAAAGATTATTTCCAGGATATTTGGTCATTTTAAACAATTTCCAGGTGTTTCAAGGACTGGAAAACAAGTCTCTTATCTCACTGATCCTCCCACACAATTATATAAATAGCAGGCTAATTAATTAACTCCAGAAAAGCCCCAGACGGCTGTCATAAAAACATCAGATTATAGAATCTATATGAATCTTTGACCGATAGGAGCAATTTTCCAGAAAACAAAAGATTTAAAGATGACACATTTGAAGCTCAGAAACACTGCAGACATTTAGGCCAAAGACAGCTCACTAAAGCCTCCCTGGTATTTATCATCTGGGCCCTTAGTGTCTAAGCCAATGGCTAAGAAAGCCTTCATGTTTAAAGCTCCTTCAGACTAGAGTAGAGTAGACCTGTAAATATTCGGTCCATATCATTTTACCAACGGATTACAAGTGCCGTCTTCTGATAGGACCAATTGTACATATCCATAATACTCCCTTTATCATTTCGTAAACATGGTTTGTAACTATCACCTAATGCTTTCACTGACATTAACTCTGCTACGAGAGTCATGTTACAGATAGGGCTGCTCGATTATGTAAAAAATCATAATCACGATTATTTGGGTCAAAATTGAAATCACGATTATTTGGGTCAAAATTGAAATCACGATTATTTGGGTCAAAATTGAAATCACGATTATTTGGGTCAAAATTGAAATCACGATTATTCAAACGATTTTTTTTTTTTAAACTTACCTGTTCAAACGAAAACAACGTGACAGGAGAAGATTGCAACTAGTGTCGCGACCACCGGCGCAAGTATAAATAGTTACGGCGCTCCCCTGACTTCACATTGTCGCGCAACAGGTCGGGAACGGCAGTTTACCGAGCCCATGATGTGCAGTGCATGCTGCGGGGGAGGGACGGAAATTGGCACGCGCGACATACGCAGACTGTGGCTGTGTCCCAATGCAGGGGCTCAGCTTTTTTCTATACAACGTTGCACAACAGAAAATGAAAAAAAAAAAAGTTTCCCTCCGATTTTATTAGTTTTGAGATCGTTTGGCCCCAAAATCGTAATCATGATCAAATTTCGATTAATTGAGCAGCCTTAGTTACAGACGGGTTTCATGGTGTACCCTGAATTATTCCTGGATTTTTACAGGTGATAAGATAACAATTCAAAAACACACATACCATACTCTGAAGTTCCTCTGCAAAGTCACTTTTCTTCTTCAGATCTTCAGACAGAGTTTCTAGTTTGTTCTTGAAAAAACAAAAGTAAAAAACCTATTTAAGAAAACTGACACAATTTTTGGATTCTGGATTGTAATAAATAGGGGAATAATAAACATCTTCCCAATGTACATATTTGTTGTTAGTCATGCAGTAAACGGCTTAAAAGAGCAGCAGTAAACACTGACACATGAAATGACAAGAAGTTTGTTTTTGTGTGTTCTATAACTGACACTTCACATAAACTGTTAGCTTTAAAGGACCATTATGTAGGATTTAGTGGCATTTAGCAGTTTGGTTGCAGACAACTCCCTTACTTCACCCTCCTGTTCCAAGCACGAAGGAGAAACTACGGTGGGTGCAAGAAACACTAATGCCCCCAACTGAAGCCAGTGTTACTACTGTAGAAACATGGCACTTCCATGGAAGGTGTCCCTTTATCATCTGTATAAAAGCCTCATTCTAATTTAGCAAAAGCATAATGATTCCTATATTCCCATAGGTGATTACACACTAATGATAACACAATCATATATTCCATTTCTGACAAAAGATCCTCCTACATTTTACACACCGGACCTTAGTGTATAATCACCTGATAAAGAATAGTTGCATTTTTGTTACCTTAGAATGAGCTCTTTTAATCTACAGACATCACAGGTCGCCTTCCATGGAGACCACCATGTTTCTACAGTAGTCCAGAAGGGACAAACCCAACACTCTTTTAGCATTTCATCGCCACCACCTTTATTGCTTGGAAGGTGAAGGGGAAGCGAGGGAGTTGCAACTACACAGCTAGATGCCACTAAACCCTTCACATAGGATTTTTAATAAATCTGAGGAGGTGTACATCAGCATGTCATTTTACCTGAAGCTCCAGGCACTGGAGTTCAGAGGTTTCGACAGCCTTCTTCAAGTGAGATATTTCCTTTTGCAACTCGTTCTATAAGATCACACAAACAAAATGTACAGTGCAAATACGGTACATCCATAAATATCACAGAAATCATAAACAAAAAATGAAAACAACAACAAAAATAGACATATTAACTATACAAACAAAGCCAAACCCAATACATCCAACTCTCCTGTCCTTGGTACTATCAGTGGAATGGAGTCAAAGCTTTACCTCATGCTCCTTCTTGAACTCCTCCTCCAGAGACTTGAACTCGTCCAGCTCTCTCCTCTCCTCCAGCTCCTGTGCCAGAGCAGCTTTCTCTTTCTCCAGACTTTCAGTCTGCTCTATGAACATCCCCAGCTCCTGCTTCAGATAGTCTCGCTCACCAACCACCATTTCCTTTAACACACAATTAATTTTTTTTAAGCAGCAGTAAGCATTCCACCCGTTTCTAGCAGATGTTGCAAAAAAATATACAAATAAACAAGTCATCCATGAGCATAAGGTTATGTAGCTATTGTTGCCGTAAATTGTGCAACAAATATTCAATATGGCAAAACTTTTGGCCTTTAAACGCAAATTAAATTTCATTGACCCCTCCTTTTTGCTCTGTGCTCCAATAACAGTTAAACAAGACAGAACCTTGGTCAACTTTCTCCTTTCCTGTACTTAGATATGCTATGTGCTACACTAATCTGTGTTGAAAAGACAAGCACATTTTGAAGATGGTTAAAAGATAAAAGCAACATATTTAGCATCTTAAGCTAGCTAACTAATGTTGAAAAGTGGAGGCGCTCCATCAAGCATTACCTTCTCTGAAGCCAGAGTTTCACACAGCTGGATGGTCTCTGCAAACTCTCTTCTCATCTGGAAAAAAATGGTATAAGATTAAAAAAATCAATGGTCTCATGATGAGTTTGACAAGCATCCTCTAGGATTAGGACTGAGGATTTCTCCTCTTACTTGGAGACCAGAGAGCAGGTATATTAAACACAGCACACCTGTTCATCAGTCGCACTCTGAGTGTGGCTCTGCTCTTCCAGCTGTCTCTCCAGATCTGCCACTCTGAACTCCAACATCTCCACCTTTTCTGCAGCCTCCTGTTTCTGCTGGGCCTCTGTTTGCAGCTGCAGCTCCAGCTCAGCTGCCCTCTGTTCTGTCATCTGTATGTTCTCCAAGGCCTCGTTTTTCTGCTGGGACTCTGTTTGCAGCTGCAGCTGCAGCTGCAGCTCGGCTGCCCTCTTTTCTGCAGTCTGTATTTTCTCTAAGGCCTCGTGTTTCTGCTCGGCCTCTGTTTGCAGCTGCAGCTGCAGCTCTGTCACTTTGCCATCTAATGTGTCTACCTTTGCCATTGCCTCCTCTTTCTGTTGACTCTCCATTTCCAGCTGCAGCTCAAGGTGAGACAATTTCCCAGAAAGCTCCTGCATCCGGTCTGGAGAAACAAAGTCTTTGGGACTGGAAAAAAGATAAAACATACAGGTTAATAACTTGTTCAACCACTGTGAAACAACATTCAAAGACTAGCATTAGCTATGCTAGTTAAGATTAGCTGGAGTATACAGGATAAGTACATACAGAATACAGTAAAATGGCACACAACAAACTCCAGGAATGAATGCACCATTTAGGGGCTCATAAGTATAAAGGTGAGGTGTGCCACAGATTGAGGGGCAGATTTGCATTCAGTTCTGTTTATACTATACTGGGTGTCAAAAAAGTTCATGTTCATCATCATCAGTCACTACTATTAGTGTAGTTGTTGCTACTGTTGTTGCTGTGCACCTGTCTGTCTCTGTGTCTGTCTCTCTCACCCCAACTGGTCGAGGCAGACGACCACCCACCTAGAGTCGGAGGATCTGTCCTAGGTTTCTGCCTTTTAACAGGCAGTTTTTCCTTGCCCCCGTCGCCAAGGTCTTGCTCATGGTGGTACTGTTGGGTCTCTGTAATTAATGTTTTAAAAAGTTTGGTCTAGAACTGCTCTATTTGAAAAGTGTCCTGAGATAACTTCTGTTATGAATTGGCACTATACAAATAAAATTTAATTGAATTGAAAAACAGACACACAGTCATAAATGTTGGGCTGTACATAGACCCTCAAAGTCACGTCGATACTTTCAAGTATAACTTGGGTTTGTGCAGCTACTGGGGAAGTGAATTATGGATGATTAAACCCTAATGATAATCCCACGGTGGGGTGATACACATACTGTGAGACCACAGAAACATGTCAACTATAACCAGTTGTATTAGACCAGAGGATTTCCGATTCCGACGACTCAGATTTGTATCACTAATATTATACAGTCTTCTATTTGGGAGAAATTTCTGATTAACTGAACTGAGAACAGGCTGTTAAGTGTGTAGGAGAAACTACATTGGCCGTGTAACTTGGGCATGCAGAAGGTCCTATCTAGAGCCAGTATTTCCATGTGTGTATATGTGTGTGTATATATTATACACTACCTATAAATATTATATTCCAGTTCTTACAGTAGATCCTCCATCCTAAATGTTACACACTGGACCTTTAAATTTGCTCTGAGGACTGTTGGCAGAAAGACATTCACCTGTCACCAAAGCTTCGAACAGTCACAGAGGCCTGACTCATCTCCATTTCATCTGACGGCTCATCAGGAATCCCCCAGTGAGAGTCAAAGCTCTCATCATCTGTTAAAACATACCGTGCATGCATTCAACCATTAACAGATAGTGCAGTTTATGTGCAAAATTGGAATTATAAGGAAATTTGCGGTGTGCATTTACTTCCTCCTTACCTTCGCCCAGCTCCATCAGACAGGAGTGGTCTGCTTTCCTCTTCCGAGTGAAAGATTCTGCAAAGCTGAGGTCAGATGGTCCACAGCCAGACTGACGGGCAAGTCTGAGCATCTTTCCTCCCCACGTAACCCTGCGTTTGGGCATCTCAAAAAGATGACACAGGTCATTATGACTATGATAATGAGGAGAAAGCTGTAGTCTACCTTAAGTTTCATTGTGTCATATTTACCCTTTGAACAGGAACAAGGTTGGAGCTGGTCACAAGCAGTTTGGTCAAGTTTTTGATCCTGTCCTGTTGTTCTCTCTGGAGTTGATCCTTCTCTTGGAGCAGCTGGGAGAGAACCTCCTTCTCTGTCGCTGTGGTCTGTGTGACTGAAGAAACCTGTAGGGAGTGTCTCCACAGGTCAGTGTGTAGAAGTGCTGCTGTCATGTGACTTGCAACTTGCGAAACAGAACTTGACTGATAAAAAAAAAAGTGACACTTGCCTCATTAAGACGTCGCTTGAGGTCTACAATTTCATTGCGATACCTTTTGAGCAGAGCCCCGTCATCGGACACCTCCGTCACATGAGGGTCGTTCTTCATTTTCTTTGCAGTGCTGGCAAACTGATAAAACATGCAATGCAATTTTTTAAAAACATCATCTGGTTGATTTCTCATGTTCAATCTGCTAGTTGTTGTTTTAAAAAAGGTCCAGTGTGTAGGATTTAGTGGCATCTAGCGGTTGCAGATTGCAGCTAAATGAACAATGCTTGGATCAGTATTCGACGACCTGGGAATGAGAACAGGCTGTGAGGTGTAGGAGAAACTACGGTGGCTGTGAAACTTGCGAAAAATGCAAAAGGTCCTATCTATAGCCAGTGTTTGGTTTGTCCATTCTGGGCTACGACTTGCAGCATCTGTAGATAAAAACGTCTCATTCTCAGCTAACAAAAACACAATTATTCTTATATTCAGGTGATTATACACTAATAAAAACATACCTATGAATATTGTATTCTATTTCTGACAATAGATCCTCCTTAATGTTACACACTCGACCTTTAAACTCATATAACTGCACTTTCTGGGAGTACAGCTTTGGATGTTGGGAGAAGATTCAATCTTTACATCCAACTACAAAGCCGCAGTGTTTCATCTTGCATAGAGGGAAAGGAGAAAACCTTATAAAAGGTATGTTATGGTAGAGATAATAGGAGGTGTGCATATATCACCAACCTGAAGTGTACTGAGGGTCTCATCTAGAGTGACAGGAGTAATGGTGCAGATGATGACTGTTTTAGCATTCCCACCCAAGGAGTTCTGCAGGATTCGGGTTAGCTTACTGTCTCTGTAGTTGGTGAAACCCCTGAAGAGAAAGAATCATATTTAGCAAACACAAGGCTGTTAAAAACTGTTTCTTGTTGCTCTGACAACAGGTCCACATGAATAATAAATAGTGCTGTCAGTTTAACTCGTCAATTTTTTTATCGCGAGATTAACGTTCTTTTTGACCTAGCACACTTTGTCGTTTGTTTTTCACATGCTGTTGCAACAACTAGTAACGTTAGAAAAACTACAACACCACACTGAATCTAGCTAGACCGGAAACAAAACAACAGGCACGCTGCACACACTTATTTAAGAGTAGTAGCCGTTACATTCCGAGTGGATAGCGAGCGCGAGACGCCGAAATGGATGGATTCCTTGTTGTCTGAAAATGTCAACAGGCTTGTCTGTTTGAGTAACTGGCTCAAAGCAAAGAAGCAGTAGGGTTACCTTTTATTGGTAACTGTTACTGTTCATTCTTTCTGAAATAAGAGGCTGGGTTGATGAGCCTCTGTTGAATAAAGAGCAGTAGCCTGACTGCTATGTTCAAAGCAAACTTGAGAAAAGTATTAAGCCATGGTTTAACTGCACTATAGGCTGAGTCCTAGTTTACCTTACATGTGTACTTTGTAATTTTATTTTGTATTGCCCTGTTTTGATCCCTTAGAAAGGGCTGTTGAAGGGCTGTTTGTGTGACAAAGTATTTTTTCACCCTTTTATTGATGGACAGTGTTACATTGTGTGAGATATTATTTGCTCCAAGTGAGAATGTTAGTGTGAAATTGAACACTACAGTATATGCCAATGTTGTTTTCAATAAAAACAACATTTGCACAAAACAAGCCACTTTTCCAGGTTGAGCATTAAAATGAGAAAAAAATAATGGGACAAAAAGAAATCAAGGGACATTTAGAATAGATAAAAATGTGTGATTAATCGCAATTAATTGCAAGTTAACTATGACATTAACGCAATTAAATATTTTAATTGTTTGACAGCACTAATAATAAACAGCTTTGAATGGCCAAAAACCCCCCCAAAAAACTCAAATAGTCAACATTCTAATCTGATGCCCTAGTTATCAATGTAAAAAGAACATGGACTTAGGACAGGCCTAGTTTAGCATATAGAAAGGAAGCTGGGGGAAACAGCTAGCATGGCTCTGTCCAAAGTTTAAAAAAATACACCCACTAGAACCTCTAAAGCTGACAAGCACATTGTATCTCTACACAAATGTAAAAACAACTATTTGTGGTTTTAGTGAGAACTATTTCTAGGTAAAAACACTTTGGGCCGGTTTAGTCCCATTGTGCCCGTACAGAGGGTACTTGGTGGATGGATGCACTATTGTTTTTAAGGAATAGTTCCAGCTTCTTATTTCACTCTCAGAAAGGACGCAGATACACATATTTTCTAAAATGTTGAAACTCTCAGTAAGAGTGCTACAGAGTACAATCCAAACAATTACAGAATGTATGACATGTACAATTCATAGTAGAAACCGTACGTTATATTAACACAAGTGCAATAAGTGCACTGCGTGTTCATTCTTTACTCACTTCTGGCCTTCATCTGTCAGTTTCTTGATCACTTGGCCAAGTGTGAACAAGCTGCGATTGATGTTGCAACCTTCTTTGAAACGCGTGCCTAGGATATCAAAACAGATGTAAATCAGATCACTGTAAACTCAGTACACACAATATCAGGCCTAGCAAACATATCACACAGCTTCAACCAATACAGTTTATGGATTTAACTCCACCGTACCTTCAGCTCCTGTTTGACTTGCTCTCTCAGATCCAGCTAGATCAACTAAATTCTAGAAGAGGAAGCAAAATTGCTTAAATTATTACTGCAACACAAACATATAGAAAACAAGCCAATAATAAAAAATGAGCTAGCTTACCAAATGAGACACAATAATGGCTCCATCAGCATTTTCTCCTGATGCTGGGTCACTCCTCTCTCGGCTTTCCAGGATCTAAGGAAAGCTAAATGGTGAGAAATCCATATTTGCTCAGAATCCTGCATGTTACTGTATGTTGTGGTGTTGCTTACCATTCTGAAAATGGTGTGTGAGCGGCTGCTCCGCTGGTTCATTTTAGTCTTTCCATAGTGACGGTTCTCTACAGAGGCAGATTGGGCAGAAAACATGTTGTTGTCACAGTCTGCAGTGCACACTATGTGGGGATGATTCTTCTGTTCTGTAATAACCTCAGGTCTTACTTTCTCCTTTCCGAATCCAGGACAGGGCTTGTGCAGGAGACGTAACCAGTTCCTCAGTCAGGTCAGCTACATAGATGTTTTTCTATACGCAGTAATTGTCAAGACACAATCTCAATGGTCATGTACAATAATAAAGTACATCTCGACTTTGAAGTGTATAACTATGGAGCTTAGGTCAAGTATAATACTCTAAATCATCTCTTAAAAGGGGTTCTCCAGTGATTTAGTAGTACATAGTGGGGGACATGTGACAAGTATTTAAAAAGATATTCCAAAACGGATGCAGTATAGGCTAATGTGTCCTTCCTTTTTTCAATTATCATCTGAAACGGCAGTGCCTCCGGTTTGTAACAGAGGCTTTCTGCTGAAAATGTGGCATTTAGAGATAATCTGCATCCAACATTCTGATAACCGGTTCCATCTGAGACCTGGTTCCTGTTTAGCAACATTCCCAGGTTAACCGAGATCCAGCGCTTACAGATTTCTTCTCAAAGCTGTTGTCTCCTCACTGTTTTTGCTAGCATCGACACAACGACATACAAAACCATTCACGTAGCCGGGTTCTGATTTTTAGCTTGCACTGATTGTCACTTGAAATAAGATCAATGGTGGCAGATTATGTTATCTGCTGCTAATTAATCCTGTCAGTAACTTGACAACAGGCCTAAATGCAGCATGGCTGTTATCTGGTCACCATGCTCAGCCTGTGTTTGTACTTGCCAAAGATCATTTGTTTGTCATTGCTCTTTTTGCATTTGACTCACCCTAAGTAAAATGGTCAAGCTGATTGCAGCAAAACTGTTTCTTAGAATAATCATTTAATATTTTGTTTAGAAGGCTGTACCTAATGTTCATCAATCAGGCTTTTCAGCCAACAAAAGGTTATTATACAACTAAACTGAATGTTTGAGAGTTGTTAGTTCTAACTTAAAATGTACAGTATGCAATTTCTGTCGCTAGGGGAACACTCACATCAAGACAATAACAAAAATTGTACTGTGAGGTAGTGTAAGACCGTGGGAGTTGTTGTCTTCATTGTTAAACAACCACTATCTGACCTGACTAAGGCAAAAATCAAGGTAATCTATTAAAGTTGTATTCCTGTTATGTTTAGTCATGTTTGAAACTTTCCTTCCTCACTCTCTGATAGATCTTGTGTTTACACAGAGGTTATAGCAACTAGAGCCAAGCAAAAACATACAACGTGAACTGAATAAAATGACATTTCTCTGGGTTTGAACATTGTTGGAAACATTTGGCATAATGGAGGTACACAACTCAACCACATATAGAACATAGAGCTAGAGTTTATAGACATTTTGATGCAAAAATTTAACATATTGTAGCTATAAATTATTTGCAAATGTTGAAAGAACTAAACCTAAAAAGATTTGATAAGGGATCCAGATATGCTAGAATGCCCCACTTACATTGATTGTCTCTCTGACTTCCAAGGGTTTTCTCTTCCAGCTGTCAACAAGCAGATCAGTTACGGTCTCATTGTAGATTTCCATGTAAGAAACCCTGAGAAGGAACTCCTTCTTTGGACACTTTGGGCAAAAGAGTAGTCATTTGTTAGAATAAACAGTGATTACATGACAAACTATGGCGTGTTTCAAACATGTGATGCAATTCTTACATTTTTAATGGTTTGGAAGACATCTTCCACAGCCAGAGGTATGACCCCAGGAATACGGTCACTCCCCATCATAGTGAAAGTCTTTCCAGAAGATGTCTGCCCGTAAGCAAATATAGTTCCTGTGGATCCATCACAGAGAATATATATACACACACACACACACAAATATAAACACCACTCAGCTACAGTAAGTATATGGAACATGTTACCAGAAGACAAGTCTCTCTGTATTCAGTTTCCATTACATACCATTGTATCCTTCAACAGAGGAAACAACCAGAGGCTTTGCAATGTCCTGGTACAGCTGATTGGTTGTTTCTTCAGCAGTGAACACTCGGTCTGTCAACAACAGAGGAGAACAGTGAACGACAGTAGATTTATATTACCATGACCCTATACTAAACATCTCAAAGAAACCACAAAATCTAGTAAATACACTTCTTAATCCTGTACATCCTGCAAAACATACCGAAACTGAAGCTCTTGGTGGAATTCCCATCATCAACCTGATGAATTGATTTCTTATCAGCTTTCCAAAACAGCTGGACGGGCTCTGGATTCTCCGATACAGCACTTTCTTCCCTGTAACAAGGACACACATTCAGGATATATTACCAGGAAACATTACCAGCATTTCTCAACAACATCTTCAAGAGACAAAGTTGCCCTATGAGAATGAATGTGGAAGCACAAGCTAAAGCGAAATCTAATATTTGGAGGAGATTCAAAGATCCCTTTTGTTCACCGTATTACCCCCAATTATTATGTAGTGACAAGTATATGTGAATAATATCACAGATTAGGGTCTTGATTCTCAAATGCAATGTGACAAGAGAGGACCCTCAACATCCCCTCTTCTCTGAATACAAACCTTTGCCATTGGGAAGAAGACACAATGCCAAACTGCAAATCAGACTTAAGTCATTCTTCCCAACATCCATCAAGCTGCTGAATTCAAATACTAAATCTAGAGCTAAATATGTGCAATAAATATACAGGCAGCTTAGCACTCAAATAGCTCTATTCTATTAGTTAGTAACCACTAGCACCATCGTCAAGTTAAAGTTTCAACTCGTCTTCCAGACAAGGCTCTAATGTGGTCGAGTCCAGGGGTTCCCAAACTTTTTCATGTCCAGAACCCCCACAAAAGATGCACGGTAGACCACGGACCCCCAATTTGAAAGAATTGTATCTTTAAGAGTCACATCTGAATATATTTCTACATTTGAAGATGACTTCAGGGGAAACCCAATCGATAAATTGATAATAAAGCCTTCATAGTCCAAAAGTGATCAGACTAGATCACTATAATTTACAATCAAACCAAAACGGCCAACCATATTTCCCTCCTTGTTGTTCCAACTTCCAAAAAATGTTCTGAAAGTTTAAATACTCTATTCCTCCTTTTGCTGGGGACCCCCTACAACCCCCTCATGGACCTCTGTCGGTCCCCGGACCCCAGTTTGAAAAACCCACTGGTCAAGTCTAGTCTTGTTGAAGCAACAAGTAACGTAAACGTAGATATGACAGCTAAAGCTCCACAGCAACACTAGCGTTAGCTTAACATTAGGTTAGTAAGCAACATAAATAAAACGTTTCATTTGTATTTGTAAAACATAAACAACATTTACCGTTGACGCTAGATAAACAACTGTCATTATTTACTGAAATAAAAACTACTTATTTACGTTAACTTAATTCAAAAATTTCGCTAACAACACATTATTAGCAACACTTTTAACAGTCGGCATTAGCATTAAGGCTAACGTCAGGCTGGCTGTAACTGACTGGCTGTTGGCTCAAACCTTACCTCTCAATGAGCGGACGGACTCGAACACATACTTTAACAGCCGACTCTTCTGTCATTTTTTCTTTTTGATAGTCGGCCACCAAAGATAAACTCCGCAGGCTAACTAACGTTAATACATCTTTCACAGATGATAACGATGATAACGCCTAACCCGCGAGCGCACTGAGTGAGTCCCTTCGCTATGTTCAAATTCTTTCTACTTTGTTTTGATTGGTGGACGTCACAGGCGGAAGGATCCATATGGGATGGCGGGGAAAACACCGCTCGCGCTGAGCTTTAGTTACACTTGTGCTTTTTAAAAACAATTTAAAAAATGTTTAATAGCTCTTATAGGCAAACATGGCTCCGAAGGCAACATTTGTTTGTTTTTACAAAAATTTCAGCAGAGAAAAATGTGGTCGCGCCCGACTGGTGACGTAAAATGCGACTGGCTTGAGTGGCGTCATCAACCCGCGACCAATACCGTATGGAAAACACATGAGAAAGTAGTGGAGTTTGTCGTTCAGTAGAAGTTGAGCGTTTCCAGTAGTTTCCAGTAGTTTCCAGTAGTTTCCAGAAAGCTAGGCCCGGTTTGTTGACATTCAGTGTTAATATTGTCCTAATGCGGGAAGGCTGGAAGTATAGAAAAGGTTTTTGGGGCGTTTGAAATGTCTCTGTTTCTGGTGAACAGGTAGGAAAGACTTATTCTCTTGTTCCAGTCACATTAATACATGACATTGTCACTGTTTCTTAAGTCAATAGTACATTATTGATTATTGATTACAGTTGCTCAAGTTGCTAAACAAAGATAAATGATAAGAGAATAAGAAGCAAACAATGTCAAAATGTGTGCATTATACTACAATATACACAGCAATAATATTCATAGAAAAATAATAATAATAGAAATATTTATAGGCTACTACAATATATAACAACGGTGTAATATTTAATAATAATGCATTAATAGTGAACAATATAATTATATAATTGTAACAGTGTAAAAAAAAGTTTTTCCTGCAACCAGAACAGTGGGATCTTAAATGTTATTGATCACAGTCCCTGTAATATCCCACATCATAACACTCAATTTACATTTACAACACTGCTATCTAGCCTTGGGGTTTAAACACAAAAATCAAATTGCATTAAATTTTGTCATGTCGCTCACAGATATCTCGGAGAGGAGGATGATGGGAGTGCCTCCAAAGAGTCTCGGTCCCAGGCGTTGCTGGCTAAACTGCAGCAGAAGGCAAAAGAGAAGCAGAAACAGAGTGTGACTGAACAGAGACAACACGTGCCTGAAGAAAAGTCAGAATGGCAGGATGTCACAAAGAAGAGAAAAGCCGACAAGGACCATAGTCAGGAGCATCAACACCAGAAAAAGAGGAAATCAGAACAGGACTCTGATGGCCATGATGAGGCGGTCGAAGAGAAAAATAAAAAGAAGAAGAAGAAGAAGAAGGATCAGTCAGGTGTGTGCTTGTTCAACGTTGTGACGATCAAGATCAGCAATCTCAATTAAAAGTTCAGTCTAGGGATGAAAAGTAACTAATTCTTGCTCTAGTCACTGTGCGTCTTTAATGGTTATATATGGCCCACCAGACTCCATTGACAAAACTGGTCATTTTATGTAGCAGATGATCAGCAGCATTATTGCTATTGCTCGTCACCAGGCTCCATAGACAAAAACGGTAATTTTACTTTTTTACTTAATTCAAAGTGGACAGAAACCAAATAAAACTCCCAAAACAGTCTTTGATAGTCTTTCCACTGTTCCAACAATCACCAGCTCTGGTTTGGTTGAAATAAATCCTTAATTCACTGATGAAGATGATAAAAACAGCAGTTCCAGTCGCTCTACTCAGCTGCACATGGAGCAGACCCCTCATGGAAACAAACCACAGAGAGGCTGCCAGAGCCACACAGGCAGAGGGAGTGTGACACCATGACTGTATCTTTACATAGAGAATAATTGTTTGCTGCTGTCTTAATCTAATTAAGATAGCAGCTATACATCTCATAAAAGCTTTAATGATAATAATACATTTTATTAAGAGAGCATTTTCTAGGAACTCGAAGACACTTCACATAAGTTACAAAGGAAAAGAAAATGGTAATAAAAACAACACACTAAAAAAAAACACTCAACAATGAATCAAACATTAAAAGCAGTTCTGAAGGTGGATTTTGATCAGTGATTTAAAGGTTGATGGATCAGTACAGTCTGTTATCTGTTTGGGGAGAGAGTTCCAGAGGGAGGGGGCAGCAATGGAGAAGGCTCTGTCTCCCCAGGTACGATGCTTGGTCCTCAGTGGTGGAGAGGAGGTTGGCATCAGAAGAGCGGAGGCTTCGGTTTAATGTAACTCTTTAGATAGTCGGGTTACGAGCTGGTGTGGCTTCTGTAATGTACACACCTGCATAACAAAAATACGCCTGAGAGGATTCCGTCTGTGTTTGGATTTTAGGCGGTTCAGTTAAAGGTCTTGCAGACACTGGTGAGACAGGAAGAGATGAACAGAAGGATGCTGGAGGAGAAGTAGAGAAAGCAGAGACAGAAAACGACACATCAAAACAAACCACAGGGAAGACTTCTGCTCCAACTGGGTTCACAGTTCTGGGAGGATTTGAGAACAAACCAATCCAAAAGGTACAGTGATTGGTCAGTGTTGCTACAGGGTCAGCAGTGTCTTTAGCGGTTGTCCTTTGGGGTTGATCCAGTGTGCTTCTGTTCACAGGTCCACAGAGTCCTGCCTCAGTGGCTCGCTCAGCCTGATGTGATTCACAGAGACATTAAAAGCAACCTGGTCCCTGTCTCTGACATCCCAGGACTTTCTGCTCAGCTGGTGAAAAAAATACAAAGTAATGGAATTCAGCACCTTTTTCCAGGTAATGACACAGGCAGCTATTATCTGTGAATTATTTACAGGAGCAACGTGTAATTCCTGGCCGCATGACTCTGGGTTTTTATTCCTCCACATGTGCACCTATTCCTCTGGTTTGCCCTGGCTCTTTCCCAGAGCAACCCCGGGCTGCAGTAGCTGTCTGTCAGCTTGCAGCAGGTCTGTCCCTCCGTTCGGCCCAGTTCTCCACTTCTGCATCCTCAAGTTGGACTAAGGACAGACAGGAGTGGTGTAATAAGACAGTGCGGGCCACAGCTAGTCTGGTTAGCATGCTAATTTAAGTAGATATTTCTGTACAACACAATACTTAGACGTACTTTTTAAAAATGTTTTTAACAATCTTAACTCTTAACTCATTAGCTAGAGATTTGGCCAGATCTTACACATTGCTCCTTTAATATTGCTGTTCTCTAGTCTATGTATGTCACATACTGTATGTCACATCAGTGTGATATGCTTCATTGGCTTGTTAAAATAAGTCCTTATAACAGATATCTGTGGTGTCTGTGTAGTGGGAAAGGGGGCATGTGTTTTGTGGGTGGGTGAACATTCATTATGAAGGGATGTTGTGATTTAAGAAAGTTTTGGAGCTCTGGTGTATTGAGTAAAAGTTAAGTAACTTCTTCACAGTGCAAGCGGAGGTCATCCCGGCCATCTTGGAGAGCGCGCAGCAGGGGCTGCTGATTGGACGAGGCGGCTACAAGCCCAGAGACATTTGTGTGTCTGCACCAACAGGAAGTGGCAAGACTCTTGCATTTGTCATACCTGTCATACAGGTGAGCTGCCCATCATACAGCCTGTAAAGGCACGGCTGTATGTGTATGTGTGAAAATGGAACATGTAAAGAGACTCCAGTTGAAATAAAGCTGTTCTCCACCATCAGGTGCTGACGGAGCGGGTGGTGTGTGAAGTCCGGGCTTTGGCTGTGTTGCCGACCAAAGAGCTTGCCCAGCAGGTCAGAATCTTTAAAAACAAAAGTCTGGGTCACACAATCCAGTAACGTCTGCACCATAGATAAAAAGCTGATATGTTCTCCTGTGCAGGTTTGCAAAGTGTTCACATCATACACTGAGGGGACCTCTCTGAAAGTGGTGATGCTGGCCGGTCAGAAGACCTTTGCTGCAGAGCAGGCTTCACTCTCGGAACACAGGTGAGTGCAGCTTCATAATAACGACACTCTGCACCACTACTGTCTGACATTTCATTTTGTAAAGGAATTTTAGGGAGGAAGAGTTTTAGAGCCAGCCATAAAGGGAAAAAATGAAATGGGTAAAAAAACGAGTATAGAAAAAGTATTTTGCATTTTGATAACAAATGCCAGGAAATCAGCGGAGGAATGTGTTGTTTTGTTTAGTTTTTTTGCATTTCAAGAATAAAAAGTCTTCTGGTCCTTCAAATCAAGTCAGGACCCAATCTCCTGATGTCCCAGTACTTAAGGGGTTTATGCGTACATACAAATATAAATTATTATTATTATAGTATTAGGAAGAACATATGAATATCAGACGAAGACTTGGTGTTTGTACAATATTTGGGGAAAATCTCATATCTTTTTTCTGATTTTTCTTCCAGAGGGGGCATGAGACGCAGTTTGGCAGACATTGTTGTGGCCACTCCAGGTCGACTGGTTGATCACATCAACAAGAACTCAGGCTTCTGTCTGGAACACCTCAGGTTTCTCGTGAGTTCATAAATAATAATAATAATAATAACACATTACACTTGAGTTAAAAAGGAAAAGAAGAAGCTGGACAACTTAAACAAAACACAGCAGATAAAACTGTCATTGCCCGCCATCCACCAATGTGTGCGCTTTTTATCTTTCATCCATCCCAGATTATTGACGAGGCTGACAGGATGATTGACAGCATGCACCAGTCTTGGCTCAGTCAGGTGGTGAAGGCGGTGTACAGATCAGGGAGTGGACCAGAAGCCATATCCATCTTCAGGCGGACTGAGCCAGCATATGTGACAGCAGCCAGGTGAGTCTGTGTATAGTCTCTGTTCAGTGGATGGAGTTGGATAAACAAAGGACATACAAGGTTCAGCAGCCTCAGAGGGGTTGCTAGGTGTATTTTTTAACATTGGGCTTCGTCTTTATGCTAAGCTAGGCTAACCACGTCCTGACTCCAGCTCTGTGCTGAAAGGAGTTTTCTTCTCTTTGTGTTTACATTCAGCGTTTCTCTTTAAATTTGAAATGAGTTTGTCCTCTCAGTCTGTCTCCACCTCAGATGCCACTGCAGAAGCTGCTGTTCTCTGCCACACTCACACAGAACCCAGAGAAGCTGCAGCAGCTGGGCCTCCACCAGCCCAGACTCTTCAGCTCCATCCGCAGCCAATCCAACACCACACCAGCAGCCCCCACCCAGAAACAAGACCGCTTCGACTTCCCCCAGGGTCTGACGGTAAGAGGTGACCTTCAGGGAGGCACACATGGAAATGCAGAGAACTGTGCTGTCAGAGACTGGTATCACTTTGTTCATGTCTCTGCATCTATGTTGTTAGGAGTATTACGTGCCCTGTACGTTAAGCAAAAAGCCCCTCCTCATCCTCCACTTCATCCTGCGCCTGAAGCTCAGCCCCATCCTTTGTTTCACCAACTCCAGAGAGACTGCACACAGGTCAGATTAAACTCATTTGTTGTTCATGTTTTCAGCTGTCCAGTGCTGCAGACTCCTTCAGTGGCCTTACTATTCTTGTCCTCCTCAGACTTTACCTGCTGGTGCAGCTGTTTGGTGGAGTTCAGGCTGCTGAGTTCTCCTCCAGACTCTCTCCTGGTGAGAGAAAGAAGACACTGAAGGAATTTGAACAAGGAAAGATCCAACTGTAAGTGTGTGTGCACGCGCGTGCATGCAGGGCAGTACATTTTTTTTTATATATACTTTATCGATCCCCTAGGGGAAATTGTTCTGTTTTACTCTTTTATATACACGCACACACAGGCTGAAATGCACACTTCACACACTTGTGGACATGCAAACAGGGAGAGAGATGGTGGAGAGATGGGGCGCCCCATGAGCAGGTTTTTGGGGTTAGGTTACCTTGCTCAAGGGCACCTCGGCAGTGCACAGGAGATGAAACTGGCACCTCTCCAGCTACCAGTCCACACTCCATATCAGGTTCCCAAGCCAAGTCCCTACACACTGAGCTATTGCCACCCCAAAGTAAAAGTCTTTGTAAACCTGTATGCAGACAGTGACACTGCCTCAGTGATCAATGAATGACAGTAACGTGTCATCCTGAAGGTTGATCAGCACGGACGCAGCTGCCAGAGGCATTGACGTCAACGGGGTCAAATGCGTTGTGAATTATGATGCACCGCAGTACATCAGGACGTACATTCACAGGTGAGCTGTCTTTCAAACGCACTGCTGGACAATGTCCTCAGACACTGTAAGGTTTACTGAGGATGTTTCTGTCAGGATTATACTGCAGGTAATCCTCTGTATCGTGTGGTGACTGAGACTTTGTCCTGGTTTCTGTCTTTGTTCAGGATTGGAAGAACAGCGAGAGCAGGGAAAGCCGGCCTGGCCTTCACCTTCTTGCTAGGAGTACAGGTGAAACACTTACTACGGACTAATATTTCCTCCCAAAATTCCGACATTTTCTATCATCCCAGGAACTGCACTCTTTTTTTACAGTACCAATATGTTATATATTTTAAAATAAAAACCTGTTTTCCTGTTATTATATTTCTATGCGAACGGGAACAACAAAAGGGTTAGTATGGGTATTCCCAGGAATCCTGTTTCCTGGGATTTAACCCTGCAGGGGAGAGAGGTGACATGAACAGTATAAAACAACGTTTTTGGTTCTCAGGAGAAGAACTTCCTTCAGATGGTGGTGGAAGCAGGAAGCCCTGGGATTCAGAAGCAGATCGTCAAACCTGAGAACCTGAAGGGTATGGAAGCCCGATATGAACAAACGCTGCAGGAGCTGGCCAACGCCATCAAGGTACCATCTCAGACACGCTCAATAAATATTAAATATTAAAGAGGCTGAATATACTCGCTTTAAAAGTTTTCTGTGCATCTGTCTGTGCATAATGACTGCGTATGACTGAATGAAAGCAACTCTTGTTTAATCATTAGCTCAATGCACAGCAAGGAATTTGTACACTGCTCTGTTTCTCTCCACAGGATGAGAAAGCCAAATAACAGAGCCACACTGGCACTCTCCTCTGAGCTGACATCTTATGAGGATCACGTTGCATTTTCTTCAGTTGTATTTGTAGTGAATTTATGTTGTTTAATAAAACATAACAAGTGTGTGTGTGTGTGTGTGTTGTGTGTGTGTGTGTGTGTGTGTGTGAGATGAATCTGGTGAGTTGAGTTGCATAGCACCAGTGCCCACGTTAATAACCCAACACATAAAAAGTAGAAAAGTCATTAAACACTGCCTGTGAAAAGGTTTCATTAAAAGAAAGTAATTAGTGAAAGTTAATTAAAGCAACGGCTTTAACTTTATGTGGGTAATGAGAGTGTTAAAAAAAACTTTAAAGGGAGTGTACAGTAGTGGACTAGTGTAAGTAATCAGTCATATATAATCATGTATGGATTCAGAAACAATGTTCAGCTATAATTTCTGACCAGAAAAATAATATTAAGTGATATTTCCTCATCTATTTTTGTTTTGTTTGACTGGAATTCAATTTTATTATTTAATGAAATTTTACTTTAACTTTTAAAATATTTTCTTTTGGACTTTGTCCCAGTGAGACTATTATTCCAATATAAAGAAACAGCAGCATTGTGAAAGAACCAGAAACCAAGTACCTGACATGTTCTAGCCTTGGATACTTTACATTGAACATGATCCAAGCAGTGTTTTTTCCAGGGAGTCATATATTTTTGCTTATAACAGACCCTTTTCACAGCAGCAATTTTGACCTGAAATAGTAGGGTAAACATTGGTGTCACCAATGATGCCAATTAAAGTTCCAGTCAAACAGAATCAGAGTGTTGTTCTTGTACATGTTGACTCACTGGAAAGGCTCTGCTACACTAACTGGAACAGAGCCTTCATTAATACCAACTAACACCTGTGTTTACCCAACCATTGTATGTCATAATAGCTACTATATACTAACACGGATTTCAGTAACCTTTAATTCTCGGCTTGTAGTTGAGCGGAGTTATTCTGGCAATCATGTGAGGTCCCAATTCAGCCATTATTCTATCAATAGTTTTTTATCAGTGTTATAAATGTCATTAATTCCCAGAGCTCAAAGTAACACCTTCAAATGTCTCTGACCAACCGTCCAAAAGCCAAAGAGCTCCAATTTACAATCATATAAAACAGTAAATAGATAGATAGATAGATAGATAGTTTATTTATCCCGAGGGAAATTCACGTCAAGTATGATGCTCATCACACTGAACATTGTGCCTGCCTTTATTTTGTAGTTTTAGCTTATTGTTGTGTTGAGAAAGCCTGGCAGGTACATTTAAGAATTTAGAGAAAACTTGTCCATTGTCCTTGTTTCAGTCCAGCCAGGTTATAATTCACTCTGTCCTCGCAGTATATAATCACACACACACACACACATCAGTCCCATTTGGAGGTCTTTCTCCTCATGTATCTCTCTCCCTCACTGTCGATGGCCTCGTATAGCTGCTGGTCATTTTCTTTGATGGCGTGCAGGTAGCCCAGGTAGCCCACACACAGGGTGATGGTCACCAGTCCAAACACCATCACTGGTTTGTTCTGCAGAGTAAATACAGCTTCATGTTAGAGTGGATAGGGAAATAACTCCTGTTTACCACCAGAGATTTCCAGGAGGGGATGGATTGCACAGTTAATGTTAGTCCAAAGAGTCTGAAGGTGGATTCTTGTAAATGCCATTAGGAGCACTAGAATGAGCCAGAGGAGTCATTGGTCACACACTGTCTGTCTCATGTTCTACTGTCAGGATAAAGTGAAAGCTTCAGAAAATGTGACAAAAAGTTATTTTTTATAAAGGTTACCTACTGCAGCTTTAAAATCAAAGTTATCTTCAAATTACATGTGAGAAATTCTGGGGAAACAAAACCGTCAGGAAATGATTTGCTGGTACATTAGAGGACAGTCCACTCAGCTGGCTGTGGAGAGGCTAAATGCTAAGCTAGCTGTGGAGCAGAACCGTTTGTGCTTTGCTCAGCGAACATCAGTGTCTGTCTGTCTGTCTGTCTGTCTGTGAGTCTTACAGGTTTTATGAAGAGCTCAGGGTTGACAGCTCGGAACAGGGTGGTGGTCTGTGCGCCCCGCAGACCGGGTGTCCTGTAACCTTTTTCCCCGGGACTCTCCTTCCCTTTACCGACCTCTTTCTCTGACATGTCCGAAACCTACGCACGACGGCTCTGAGGGAAAATACACGACCACAGAGCTCCAATAATGAGCCTGACAGGGTTCTTGGACTACGCTATCTCCCTGACAGCAGCCATGTTTCAAAGTCAAAGACGACTGTGACCGGAGAGGAAGAGGAAAGCAGAGTAACGTTATATACAAGTTGAAAGTTCACAGCGCCCCCTGTGGAATGAGAGGGAACTGGCACATTTGTTTACATTGTGACTATTTAAAGGTCCAGTGTGTAACATTGAGGAGGATCTATTGTCAGAAATAGAATATAATATTTATAGGTATGTTTTCATTAGTGTATAATCACCTGAATATGAGAATCATTGTGTTTTTGGTACTTGGACAAGTGCAGGTTGTCAGTATGAAATAGTTATGACAATTTGATGCATTAAAACAAAACCAAAATCAAACACTGGCTCTAGATAGGGGCACTGGTCCTTTAAAATAGTATGAACTGTTAAAATCAACATGGTTTGAGGTTAGGTGTCCGAATGGGCCAAGAGTGAGTTTATAATTATAAGGTCTTGCTCATGGTGGTACTGTTGGGTCTCTGTAAATAATGTTATAAAGAGTTCGGTCTAGACCTGCTCTATTTGAAAAGTGTCCTGAGATAACTTCTGTTATGAATTGGCGCTATACAAATAAAATTGAATTGAATAATGAATGAATGGATGAATGGGTCTGTAACTACGTCAACAGATGCACATTAAAATCCAAATGACTTCAATGAGCTTTCTGTAGATGGCAGGCGTAGTTTAGTGTAAAATCATATCAGAGTAGGGTTCCGGAGATATTTTATCCTGGGCTAAAGCAACACTGGCACACTGGCATACATTTGGCGCTCTTGTCTTATAAATGAAACAGGCAAGTTTTCTGTTTTCTTTCATTTTGGTTTTATTATATGAGATAGAAAATGAAAATCAATCCATTCTTTAAATTTAACTCATCCAACTTTGCCTGTAAAAAGTGCTTTGAATTTTAATTTAACTTTAACAATGCATCATATTGATACGGATCCTGTGTTTTGTATGTAAACCAAATATTTTACTCTGAGAAGTGGATTTAGTACCAGAGTCATAGTACTTCTCTTAAATCTACTTACTTAAATAACAGATTTATGTTTTTTTCCTTTTTAAATTGAAAATGAATGACAGAATATCCAGTCAAACCCAAATCATATAGGGGCTTCCTTATCAAGAGAAAATTAAACTTGCAAATGAAAAAACTGAGTTTTGAGGCCTTTTCTATAAATTCTATTTTGTGTCAAAAAATGCTTTGAAATCCATCCTTTAAACTTTTGTGACAAAATCTTTTCTTTATAGAATAGTAAATCTATGGAACCCTTAAGGGGACATGGGCAAAAAACCCACAAAAAAATCTTTAGGTTTGTGGTGTGCAGGGACAACTATCCCCATATAAATCGACTAAAACAGATTTAACTTACATTCAACCATTGCATAGTCAACAGCACACTTTAGCTGAACAAAGCATCAATATTAACTGACCATGGTGTGGGTTTATTGAAGGTAGACATCTGAAAATACATTATAAAGTGTAAACATAGATCTTTTTATAAAAGGTCGGGATTGCCAACTTCAAAAACGTTCATTTTTCAAAATCATAATTTTGACATAGAATTTAAGAGCAGACAGAAAAACAAGTGGTCATTTAATTTTCATTTTAAAATACAAAGATACATAGACATATCCTGAGAGAGACAGGATCACCAAATATTGAACTGGCATTGTGCCAGTGCTGCTTTAGCAGGGTAAAATCTCTTTAGAACCCTGGTGGGGTTTTCTTGGAGGTAGACATCTGAAAGTACATTATAAAGTGTAAACATAGAAGTTTCTTTTTCTTTTTAATTTTTTTAAAAGGTTGGGGTTTAAAAGCTTTTTTGCCACATAATTTGACTCAGAATGAAAGAAGATACCTACTTTTTTTTAAACGTAACACTGGAAGTTCTAATAGTGTAGTGCAAATTTATTATTTAGATGGGAACAGCGCCTCCCAGTGGTTGGAATAGCCTACTGCAAAAGTCCAACTGAATCTCCTCATTGATGGCTTTGCACTGTAATATAACCTTACTACAGAATCACATGACATTATTATTAGCAGTATGTATGCACTGAAATTGTATGAACTGAACAATTAAACTGATCTTAGTGCACACAACAGGAATATATGGACCACGTATTAGAATAAGCTCTGGGAAGAGTGTAGCAAAATAAGAGACACAGACACACAGGCCTGGGGTTACATGTATTATTCAGCGGTGTAACATTACCTGACTCATCAAAGTTCCATGTGTCAGTGCAGGTGGGAGACTAAGGACATAAAATACAGTGGATACAGTGTTTGCCTGAGGTTATTTCAGTGTTCTCCTCCCCCACACTGAACAAGGCAGGCAGCAGATATTATTTGCATTAGACAGCACCATGGTGATGCTGTCTGAGTACACACAGGCTTCACTTCACACAAGTTCAACAGGTGATCTGTAGGAAAGCTCCTGGTCACACAGTTTCCAGTAAATGACTGTAAACTCTGAAACAAAAGAGAAAGCATGTAATAGAGCTACTATCACTGCCTGCTGCCTGTGATGGTTGGATAAGGTGTGGCACAGAGTGGTGCCCTGCAGGTGTAGGTGCAGGCTGAGGACACGCACAGCCCAGCCGACTGCAGCTGCTGTTACTGAGGGGCTCTAGAGCACCGCCGGTAAGTCCTCTGCTCTCACTTGTGTTTGATAAAACTCTACTTTTCCAGCTTTTCAGGAATGCTTTGACCTTTTAGTAAGATGTTCCTCTGTTGTCAGTAAACACACAGTGAAGCACATCACAACTGCTTCTCTCTCTAAACGTTGTTAATAGTGTATATATAGCTTTAGAATTGCATGTGGTAGTCTATCTATATATATTATATATGTATATATCTATATACAATATTCTTCATTTTCTATTTCTATTAAATCTTGTATTTTTCTTTTCTATTCTTATTTCATCTGTATTTTCTTATCTATTGTGTTGTGTTGTATGTGGAGCTGCTGTAACAAGCTAATTTCCCCAGTGTGGGAATAATAAAGTCTATCCTATCTCATTTGAAAGGTCACTAAATGACTTACCCTTTACCAACCTGCCTGCCATGGTCAGATCCTGTGACCTGATAAGGAATTACTGCTATGTTTTAACAAGATGTTACCAGCTGTCAGAATAAAGTAATACAATATGAAACAAAACATTTGCAATGGGGAGACATCTGAAAACCATAGCCATGTCACCAGACTGTAATGGGTTACAGAATCTGGTGTAACACTGTCTGTAGTCTTTACATTTCCTGAGCAGAGCCAACCGGGTACAGCGGGCAGCTGGGAGGGGTTGTTGGTGTGTGTTTGAATATTTGCAAATTTGTTTGTGCCACTGAAGCACAACAGAGTTCTTGGTTACTAGTTTACATGATTGTAGATTACTAGTAATACTATTTCTTTCCCCAGTAACTAGTAGTGTAACTGATTACTAATAATTTTCAGTAATAATATTACAGTTACCCCCCCAAAAATATTAGTTACAATGTTAATTTAGTTGTCACCCCCTACTAATCTGAAAAACAACAATCCAACAACATCCTTGGATTCATTTTTGTAATCATGGAGGAACCTAGGTTGGAGGATGGAAATTCTGGAAATAATAAACAAAATTGGATTTTAATCGTCATCGAATTTTGGGGAGAAAAGACACAATTACCAATATTGTGAGGAGTAGCAGAAAAGTAATATAACTAGTACTGAAACTCATTACTATTGGCAGGGAGTAATAGGTAAGGTAATATACAGTAATAATATTACTTTACTTTTTACAATTGAAAAGAGTAACAAATAATAATGAGTAATGCATTTTGAGTAACTAGCCCAACACTGCTGGCCATAGCAAGTGTGACAGTGAACCTCCAGCACTACTGAGTATGTTTAGTTTTAGAGTAATGCGTTCTGTGTAGGACTTTAAATCCAATGAAACCTCTGCTTCCACAATATGTTGTTTTATTTTATTCTCTGTAACCCTTTGGCGACCCCAAGAAATGAGCTTGTGACCCCTTTGGGGGTCCCGACCCACAGACTGAGAACCACTGCTGATATAGTCTTAAGAAACCGTAGTATGTTTTGAAATTGTCCACACTCTACGGTATGAAATCATGTTACTGTGTGATAATACAGTGCAGACCTTCTCTATAATCTACATTATTAACGACATTACCAAAGAATGATGGATTTATAGGCTTCCTTTGTCATAGAGGTTAAAGCTGATGCATTACTTTCATAATGTAGTGCAATAAATGCAAGGAATGTGGAACCGGTTGGGCGGGATCCCAAACTACTTTTGAACAACAAACATGTAAAAAAACAAACTAAAATTGTTCGGTAGCCGCTGTTTCAAATGTACAGTCTAATGTAGCCACATATATCATACTCTGTGACCACAGCCTATGAGAAAGCAATACATTCTGCTATCTCAAACTGGATTGGCTAGTTGTTTCGTTATGTAAATAAAACTTTTCCCATTCCAAACTGGGGGCCTGGTGCTGCCCTTCTCCGTGATGTTGCAGTGCTGATGGGTATTTGAATGCAAATCAATGGCTTCCAGGAAAGCTGGCCATCAGTATTGTATATAAAGTATGTCATGTGTAGTAAGTGTTTAAAAAGACTTGCTGTGCCATATTTAGTATATATTTAACTGTTGGTGTATTCCCTGACAGGAGACTCTGAGGAAGATGAACTGGGGCTTTTTGGAGAACATCCTCAGTGGGGTGAATAAATACTCTACTGTGATCGGGCGCATCTGGCTCTCAGTGGTCTTTCTCTTCAGGATCTTGGTGTACGTAGCGGCGGCCGAGCAGGTGTGGAAGGATGAGCAGAAGGACTTTGTGTGCAACACCCAGCAGCCGGGCTGCGAGAACGCCTGCTTCGACCACTTCTTCCCCATCTCGCAAGTGCGCCTGTGGGCTCTGCAGCTCATCATGGTGTCCACCCCGTCCCTGCTGGTGGCCCTGCACGTGGCATACAGGGAGCACCGGGAAGCCAAGCACAGGCGGAAACTGTACCAGGACAAAGGGAGCATCGACGGAGGTCTGTTCTGCACCTACGTCGTCAGCCTGGTGTTCAAGACGGCCTTTGAGGTGGGCTCCCTGCTTGCTTTCTACTTCCTGTACAACGGCTTTGAGATGCCCACGCTGGTCCGCTGCAGCCAGAGTCCCTGTCCCAACACGGTGGACTGTTACATTGCTAAAGCAACAGAGAAGAAGATCTTCCTCTACATCATGGGCTGCACATCCATTCTGTGTATCGCTCTGAATTTTGTGGAGCTCATGTACATTGTGTGGAAACAGTTGTGGAAATGTTTCATCAGGCGGTACGCCCCTGTGGAAGAGAAGCCTTACAGCAACTGCCCACCACCTGTTTCCATAGTCAACAAGTTTGCCTCATCTGAGGCTACCGTAAACACAGGGAATGGTGGCACACAGCCTGCATCCACAGCTGAAAACCTGCCAATCCAGTCCTAGAGGATGGGGACTGACTCATGTTACCAGCTCAGAATGAAACCACAGTGAAACCACAGTGAAACCACAGTGAATACTGTGCTATGAAAAAGATTGAATTGTACAATTGGGCCTAAATTGAGAAAAGCTATGGTGACATGTCATATAATTTATTAGAATGAACAGACTCTAATTACAGATATTAATGAAACATACAGTATGTCATAATTTTGATTTGTCACTCACATTCAGCACCCCTCCCCTCTGGTTAAGTTTTACACGTTACGATCATTCACTCATCAGGAGGAGCACTGTTTAGCTTGTGAACACATTTGTATGTCCTGTGGCTCTGGAGGAGTTGTCAACTCTAATGATGTCACTGTGATGTCATCAGGCTAATCTCAGGTTGGGCTTGAAGATTGCAAATTTTCTACAAAGGCTACATTTTTTGTGCATTTGAACGGAAGCGCCTTTTCTGCCAATGTGATGGGAAAAAACTGGAATTCATTATAATGAGAACGTTTCTCAATATTTTAATTTAGTATCTCAAAACAATGAAAAACCTTCTCAATATCTTTGGTATATTGTCATTTTGAGATAATAAGTCATTACTTTGAGAAAGTTTTTCATTATAATGATTTAAAGAATTATTTTTTTTATCATATTGGTGGAAATGGGCTTCCATACATTTGTGTGTTTACCAGGTAGGGAAGGTCTAATTTAATCAAAGACTCCATCAAGTTGCATTATGTGAAATGTAGGATCCGGTGTTTTTGGAGTTTGGACTATTCCAAGTGTGCACAGACTTCTTTACTTGGGGGGCCAACACTGAAACTTAACGGTGGACAAGCCGCCCTTGGCTAACTAAGGACTAAAGGCCAGGATATCTCAGCCTGTGATTCTTCAATTTTGACCATTCGTTTCTTCTTTTCTTTTAAATCTGTCTCTTATGAGTCCCCAAACTTCATGGAAGTGCAATATTGATTAGCAGTAGTAACATAAAAACCTACTGTTATGCCTTGTTGTACCAGGAAAAGCACAGGTGAAAGGTAAACGATGGCTCATTGAGTGTACCAGTAAGCCATGACAGTCGAGAAAGTTCACTGTAAGTCAATTTATTTGGACAGTCTGCCTACAGAGTATTTGTTTTTGGCGCCTTAACCTCACCAAACCTCAATCGTAGTGATATAATATCAGAAAAAGTTTGCTGAATCCCAACTAATAAACTGTTGTAATGTTACAAATACTCTTACTGAACTCTCCCTGTCAATACACGTGCTAGAAAGAGTTTTTGTTTTGCTTTTTTAAACACCACGCCGAAATATTCATATTTCCGCTTCGGATGCCACGATGCCATCAAGCGGGATCTCTGGTCGTAATCAGTCCTTCACTGACCAATCAGCGTTCATTAGCAGAATGCTAGCGCGTTATGGGCAACAACAACTCGTCCTGTAAGAAATCAAAAGGACATAAGTACTCGTTCATTCAACTTTCTGCCTATAACCCATGTTGAACTTGCAAAAACTACAATCAAATCTGAGATTTCTCAACGACAATCAGGTGAAAGAGACAAATTTTTTTTTTTTTTTTGGGCCTTTTTCATGCCTTTATTAGATAGAGACAGCCAAAGATAGACAGGAAAGGTGGGTAGAGCGAGAGAGGATGACACGCAGCAAAGGGTCGCAGGTCAGATTCGAACCCGGACCGCTGCAGCACCTCCATATATGGGTCTCCAGCTCTACTGACTGAGCTAACCGGGCGCGCAAGAAAGAGACAAATTTAGCCGTCTAGCTCAATAGATTCCCATTCATTCTGCACTCATGGGCGATCACCCCCAGTGGAACTCTGGTGGAACTGCAACCAAAATTCAGTACAATGGGACTTAATAGGGAGTGGCCAGGCTCTCTGTAGACGGGCTCTGGTATTACCCACCTCAGTAGACATTGCTCCACGTGAAAAAGTTGCCCGGCAACAAATGCACATCAGCAGCGGTAGAAAGGGGGAGGAGGGTGCCGCAAGTGACTTTTTTTACGACAGTTTTGTGAAATATACGTCCCAGAGCTGTAGGGACAGCTCGCTGAGAAAACGTGACGACAAAAGTGAAAACCAGCGAAGAAATGGCTAGAGTTGCCAAGTTCCCCTTTAACATTGAACACTACAATGAAAATTTTGATGAAGACTTCCAAACCAATTGTTATTTTGACAGGATGTCAGACATCAGACATGCAGACTGCTGTTTAGCTCTCATATGTATGGGGAGATAAATATGAAACTTTAAACAAATTGTAATTTTATGATTTAGTTTGTTCATGTAATTTTACATTGGACATGTATATTCACAGGCTATTTTTTGTAACTGTATTCATTTGTAAGTGTATATTAAAGAAATCTAAAATAAACTGGAAAAAATGTACAGGTTTACCAGGATGTGTGGGAACCCTGACTTTGTAGTTGTTATAGCATGATCAATAAAATGTTTTCTCAAAAACACATTTAAGGCCTAAAATTCAGATTATTCTATTTCAGACATTTTAAGAGCCCAGACACCCTGGGATTTGAACAACTTGCTCTGAAGTGCATATGACATGGTAGTCCTTTGTTTTGCAGGGATAACATTTTGGAAAATACAGCCTGTGTAATCTGTTTTCCACAACAAAACTTTTTACACTTTGTATGTGGATCAAACAAATATTACGATGTGTTGACTAGCATTAGCTTTAAATGAGTTGGTCAGTGTATAGTATTTGTTTTAACTTCAGTCTTTATTCTAAGCTAAGCACCTGGACACATGTTCTAGTTCTAGCTCATTTGTTTTTTAATAATTGAAAAACTTCCAAATCAAATCAATTTCCATTCAGTGTGCATGCAGCAGCTCCAAACTTACCATCATAAAAGGAATCCCTAAACTGCAGCATAATCTAACAAAATGGCAAATGATGAAAAACAAGTCAAACTGGTTGTAAAAAAGCTGTTTAATAGTAAGACTGCTGGTGGCAGTGAGTGATTTCAAACTATATACACAACGCACAATAATCAACATCTTCAAATCACAAACTACACACAACGATACAACCCATAGTTCATTAGTCTGCAAGTCCCACAGGGATAATTAAGACACCAAAAGCTGATGTCATATTTCAATTTTTCAGCAAAATGTTCTGATTACTTTTTGACTCAATAGTCCATAAATAAAAACATGCTATACACTATTCTATTAAAAAAGACAAAAATTGTACAGACATTATTACAGTATAATTGAAAACAGTTTTTTTTTTTTTTTAAACAACCGGGTGTGTAAAAAAAAACATTTCATATGTAGGGCACCAGTCTGCAGATTTGACTCATTCTAGTCCTGAGATTCTCCTTTTCAAAAACAACAAAAGACAACTCAGTCATTTTTCTCCAATACCACTGTGGGCCACATGTCCTGCAGCTGCTTCAACATACGCTCAGTGACACCTGAAAAGGCCCTGTCTATAATGATCTTAACCTTACTAAGTGATTTCAGGTTCTGACGGTTGCTGAACCTGACACAGGTGTCTTTGGCGTTAGGAGTGGGTGTTTTTCTGCAGGTTTCTGATGCATCCACCTTCCTCGTCAACGGGTGTTCACATTTATTTGACTGTTCTAGGAACTTCAAGAAAGACATTTCAAACCCCATTGGTTTAAAAGAGGCCAGCGGAGCACTCTGCTCAGTTGTCTCCTCCTGCATGACTGTGGGGCAAGAGGAGTCTGACTCGTCGTCCCTGCTGTAAACTACATCGGTCTTTGTTGTTCGTGGAATTTTCTTGCGTTTCGCTATTTTGTCAATCAGTTTTCGTGGACGTCCCCGTTTGCGTTTGAGCACCACAGAGCCATCAGAACTTTCATCATTCGACAGCTTGCTGTCAAACAACGCGGCGGGCATCCCTGCTGCGGCCCTTTTACGTAGGACAGGCTTTGAATCTCCATATTCATCTCCTTCCAGGTCGGCGTCTGCTGCCAGCTCGTTGTCTGATACGTCAGAGGTGTTGTCTGATTTGGAATCGTCACTCCTGATTGAGCGGCACTTCTGCCTAGGGATCTTTTTACAGAATATGAAATGACTCCGTTGCTGTTCCAGGTATTTTTCTGACAGTCCGTGTCCGATGTAATGTTTTAGTATGCTCCGCTCAGATTTCATGACTGATTCACAACCTTTAATCATGCAGGGGTACTGTAGAGGAAACTTCTTAGTGCACATTGAGGATGCCTCCACTTTAGATTTCAAGGAAGGTTTTCCATATTTAGTCCAGTGATTATTTTTTGCCTTGTTGACTCTCTTTGTGTCACTTCCTCTCTGTAGAATCTTTTTATTGCTCTCAATGTTTTCCTTCCCATTACTCATCTTGGTAATTTGGTAATGCAAAGTCTTAGAGTTTTGTTTTATTCTGTCTTCTTTAGTCCGTTTGGACTGGTACAAATCCTGATGCTTTTTCATGACATGTCTGAGCATGTTTGACTTTGTGGCATACGAACGGTCACAGCCTTCGATCTCACACTTGAACGAGCCATTTAATTGTTCGGATTTGGCCAACTTCATGTCTTTATGCTGTTCTTTGACGTGCCCTATATACTTCCAGAAGGCAGTGAAGGGTGCAGTGCACCCTTGGTGGCCACAGGCAAACTTGCCGAGCTTGATGCCAGACAACAGATTGCCAACCTTATCAAGGCTGAATTCATGCAGCCGGAGATAATGCTGAAAAAGGCTGGGAACTTCTTGGAAAACTCGGGAGCAGTCTTTGACCTGGCATCTGAATTCAGAAATTTGGGGGATCTCTGCCTCTGGATCTTCCTCATCGTGGTCCATTACTTCATCTAGTACCTCACTCTGGTCCTGCTCTTTGTTCACCTCCAATGCTGACAGAGCAGACTGGTGAACTGCCCTGTAGTGGAGGATCAGATTGTGCTGAATGGTGAAGGCTGCCTCACAGCCATGATGAACACAGCGATATGGTCTGTACGGACTCATAGCATCATCTGAGTTGGGCTTCTTCTCTTTTGCCTTCTTGGTAATCTCTATGCTTGGCTTAACTATTGCCTGCCTGTTGATAGCACACTGTTTGTTAAGAGACGGAGGCCCATTAGCCTGAGGTGCAGCAGACAGTGCCTGGGTAAGAGGAACCGACACTCTGGGCAAAGGGGTTCCAACTTGTTGACCAATTTCATGTTGAGCAGGAACCTTGGGCAAGTTTGTTGCTGCTGGAGCCTGGTTTGTAGTGACAGGCCAGTTTTGAATAGCAGCGGTTGCAGCAATTTTGGCCTCTCTACGCTTCTTATCTAGATCTGCGATCTCTTCAGCTGATAGTTTGTGAGCTGACTGGTAGTGCGTGCGAAGGTTTGAGTTACGAGTGAATGTTTTACTACATTTTTGACACTTAAAAGGAGCATATTGGCCATACCTTTTTTTAACCACATTCACCATCTCAAGTGTGTAGTTGTGAGTTTTGGAGAGATGTTTCCAAAGGGCTTCACTTGACATGGAACTAAATGTGCAGTTCTCATTGTCACAAGCAAATGGCTTGAGGAAGCGCGGCGACGTTGAGCTTGGTGGATCGACCTTTGCGGATATGGCCTGGTTGTTCCTAGTATTGCTATTCTGTTCCGTAGCAGCTGACATCTGATCAGATATTTCTCTGACTAAGTCGAGCCTTTCAAATGCACTTTGAATTTCTGTCATCCACTGTTGCTGGCTGGCAGATAATTGAGTGGGCTCAAGATCTGCATAATTTGCCACAACGCCTGTAGGGCTCAGTAACTCCTGCTGGGGGGTAGAGGTCTCTCTGAAGCTAGTAAAGCTCTGTGTGTGAAGTAGCTGTTCAATTTCACCAGAGGAGTTTTCTTGAATTACTTGTCCTTCACATGCTGAGTCACTGTTTGAATCATGAGACATTGGTTGAAGTCCAGAATTATTGGAAGGACTGCACATTGGGCCAAAGGACATGGGATTCTTTGAATTGGCATTAGGGTCAGTGTTGCTTAAATGACTGCTGTTTCTACGTTGAAAGTCGCCAGCCAAAATCTGCTCCCGCAGTCTCTTCTTAACATCTTGCTCAGTTGCCTTCCTTTGTGTCTCAGCCTGCTTGCTACTTGTAGCTGGACCAAGCTGACTATCAGGTAACAGTGTTTGCATCACTGGGTTTGTATCTGTATCTGGTGTCTGATTGGTATGATACCTCTCACTGTGGTTTGTGGGAACAGTTCCAGAGTGATACACTTCTCTGTGATTTGTGGGGACACTTCCTGGAACAGCAGTGGAAGGATTTTCTGTGAGAATTTGAGTAAGAAGTGGGTCAGGGAATTCACTTCCAGCAAATCTATCAACGCTTGGCTGGGGATAATGTGCTGTACTGTAAGAGTTGTCCTCTTGCTTCATATGGACATTTTCTGTATGACGTATGACTGAATTCCCAGGTAGACGTTCACCAGCTACATAGGGACCACAAGGGTTTTGGAGCGATAGCAGGGAAGCAGGCGTATGCACAAAAAGATCTGACATGTTGGATTCAGCCATGATTTGTTTAAGAATGTCATCGTTTGACTCACCATTCCCATATACTGGCAAATTATCTTGTGGATATTTCAGAGTGGGGTAGTCTTTTGTGGCTGTAGGACCAACAGCAGTGGGACTATAAGACAACTGTGGCTGAGCGCTGCTAACAGTTTGTTCTGAATTTAGAAGATCTAGAAACGATGCTGGCAGGTCTGTGTTGAGTTCCGACTCGTCATATGGTTTACAGATTGCACGCTTTGACAAATGGCCTCCGAGGGATTTGGGACTATTAAATTGTCTAAAACACCTGCGACAAATAAATTTCCCATCCTTAAGAATAGCTGGCCACTTGGTCCTTCTGTTTCTTTTGGCTCGCTTTTGATTTTCAGCACTGCTTTCAGAGTCAACTGGGCCTTTCTGTTGATTGATTGATTGTTGACTGTTCTTTTGGCTTGCACTGTCTGGAGAGGGAAAACTGGGCTGCACAGGATTTTGCATTGGTTTAATTTTTTCTGGGGCCCTTGAACCGGACAATAAACTACTTTGCATCTGTGATGTATATGGCGCAAGGGGGTCTTCCGCTTGTTGTGACACTTGCTCAGCACAGTCCATGTACATGGGCAAAACTGACTGAGACCTGTTTTCCACAAGTGGTGACTGCAAAGAATCTGCTGGTCTGTTCATTGTTGATCCCATGACAGAGCAAGATGAGACACCAAGTGGCAGAGCAGCGCTAGTAGAATTGACTTGTGGCATCACTGGCATGCCAGATTGATAGACTCTGGAAGAACCACAGTTTTGAATTACTTCGCTTCCAGGGGCTGGGTGCCAATTTTGGCTACCTGAAATGTGGGGCTGTGCAGTTATTGGGTTTATATCACTGCCCAGCTGAGAGAGAACAATGGGATTTAAAACATTTTCCATAACATGTGAAGCATTCTGGTTGTGGGCAGGTGCGGAATGGGAATGTTGGGTAGTATACTTTGTGTTTGTACCCATCATAGCGTAAGGAGGTATTTGGATAACATTCTGCCTCTGAACTCCATGAACTGGTACTCTGTTTCCCTGCTGGTTCTGAAGTGAGGCAACTGAATTGAGATGTCCGACAGATGTTGTGCTTGGTGCTGGGGCGAAGGTTATCTCAAGTTTAGTTCGAGAAACTTTCCATTGCTCGTAGAAATCTGGGTGAACCGTTTTCATGTGCTTGGTCACACTTCTGTAAGAGCTGTAGTGCCTTGGACATGTGTCAAATGCACAATGAAATCGCTCTCTCAGACCCGGAGGGGGACCTGTGCTAGTTGAGGACGTTACAGAGTTCTCTGGTCTGTTCCCAGTTAGTGGCTGTGGGGTTACTGTTGGAGGAAGTGGTTGTGACATTGCTGGCTCTATCGAGTTCGGGAGTGGTGATGCTGTCAACAGGTTGCTACTGCACATTGGCCCTTGCAATGGTAAGTTGCAGTCAGAGTTGTAGGTCACCGATCCAGTATTTACACTACTGGGGAACATTTGGCCTTCTGAGACATCTGTATTATAGTTATGTGACACGCTACCTAAATTAGCTTCAAATTGAGGTACTGGTTGAGCCTGTTGGGGTAGTTTCATGTAATTAAAAGAATGATCACCTGAACCATCTCTGTGTCTATTAATATCAGACATGTGGGAATTCACAGTCTGGATCACAGAGTTATTTAAAGTTGGAGACTTACTGGTTGAGAAAGGCGCATTTTGTGGTTCCTGTTTGACTCTGTACTGACCTACGGCTTCTACAGGTGCTTGTGATGATTTCAGCAAACTCTCAATGGACAATGGGAGTCTTCCATGACTTGGATTAACAGCACTTTCAGTGTTCCAGTTTTCTTGGGAATTCTCTTGTTTAGGGGGAGTGTGATTGGAAAGCATCTGTTCAATAAGTGAGGGGCCAGGCCGCATGTTTGGTGAGGTCTGTTCAGAAGACGGGCTTTCCTCTTCTTGGGTTGCATGCCTCTCCTGGTGCAAATCCAGCTGCTGTTGTGTATGGAATACCTTCCCACAGTCTGCAACTTTACAAGTGAAAGTTTTATAATGTTGTGCCTCGTGGTCATAGAGTTTGAAGGCCTCATTGAAAATCTTTCCACAATTTGGAAACATGCATCTAGCCTTAAAAACAGAATGTGTTTTCCTGTGTACAAGGAGCTCAGTGTTAGACAGAAAACTTGCCTTGCAGTTTAACTGTATACAGATGTAAGGCTTCACACCACAGTGTACCTGTAAATGATCATTAAGATGGGTGACGTTAACAAAGTGGCGGCGGCAGTACTGGCAAACAACCTTTTTTCTCTGCATTTCGAGGAAAGTCTTTGCTTCCTCATTGTCTCCGTGAGCTTTAACGTGTGCAACAAGATTTTTGAAAAATTTGAAGCTCCTCCTGCATTTTCCAACAGGGCACACATTGTTCTCACTACTCTCTGTGTTACACTTATCCACTCTGGACTCAACATTATGCATCAGCACCCCATTCTGTCCCAGGGAATCAGCATTTTCATAAAGTTCATTTTCTGTCTTTGCCTTTAATGCTGCAATAACAGGGGCGGCTGTTTTAGGATCGGACAATTTCTTGTTTGTTTTCATTGCAGTCAGCCTTTCCTTACACGACTGCTTAACATGCGATGTTACATGGGGAATCAATGTGTCTTTTGAGGTAAAGGTTTGGGCACATATTGGGCAGCTGTATACTCCACCACTCAGATGAGTCTGTGCATGGCGTACAATCCTGTGACCGAGAAACTCTTTGTCACACAGCACACAGTACTGCATGTATGCCTGCCAGTTTCTGAACCTGGCAGATATGAAACCTTTTTCTCTCAGTTTCTTCATTTCTCTGTTTTTCTGTCTCTTGTCCGTTATATCATTTAGTTCATATGTACCGCTGACTAAGTGGTCTGGGACATTCCTAAGCCTTTCCTGACTGAGAAAATCTTCCTCTTCTTCAGGGTCCTCAGTATCATTCAGCAAATCAATGGATGACACTATTGAAGCTTCTTCGCCCATAAGTGCTAGACAATGACGCTTAAGTGTTTTCCAGTCCCAGAACTCCGGGTCAAAAGGCCACTGGGTTTTAAAAACCAGCAGGAGCTCGCAGCGTAGTGAGTTGGGAACAGGCATATTCTCCTCCTCTAGTTTTTGATCTGGTTCATTGTAAAGAGTCTCCACAGCGTAGTATGAATCCACCGTGGGCTCCAAGAGGAACTCTGTCAGCTGGCAGGCTCGCTTGACTTCCAGGTCAGTGGGAAGCAAACAGGAAATTGTTTTACACACAGTGGCCTTGGTGTTTCCATCTTCTGATTCCATCCGCAGAGCCCTTATACACATTTCAATGCACGCTGGAAGTCCAACGCTGTCAATCTGTTAAAGAGAGGAAGACAAATCATTTAAAGCTGCAAAACATATGGAAAAAAGTTAGTCTGAAACTCAAGATTTATAATGCAAATCCATTTTTAGAAAAGAGCAACTAAATAAACCAGGGTTATTCCATGTTTGAACAAGGAAAGTTAGCAGCAGCAACTTATGGCTGCTTGTGATGTTAATTTCTTAATTTCTTAATTAATTAATTAATTAATTAATTAATACAGAATCATAATCTTTAGCCAAATCCAAATAAATGTATTGGAAAACTATGCGGGGGGAGTAAAATAATACATGATAGGTGATGATAATTTTTAGTTTGATAATACCATAATAATAGCTGACTGTTTACTGACCTCTGATTGGATGACTTTGATGAGGAACAGGATGTGGTACACGGTTTTGGAAAGTAAGGACATCTGGCGACATCTGTCGAGGAAGGCCTGCTCTGATGGCTCTAATCGCTTCAGCAGCTTGCTCCAACACAAAGTGAGCTCCCTGATTGGAAGATGGGGAATTCATTGCACATTCATTTTCTATTCAATATCTATTGAGGCTCATACTGACCATCAGTGTCTCAATATTACCAGTCTATTAACAACACACAATGACGAGTAAAAGAGCAGCTTCATCAACCATGGACACTGAGTGTACATTAACAGCACGACACACCTTTTTTGTGATTCATTATGTGCTGTAATAAATACAAAAAACACAATTCTACATTAAGCTAGCAATTTATAACTCAACACTTGCATAAATATGTTAATTTCATTATAAGACAGGTGTAGATTGCAGGACTAACAGAATCTCAGTATTATTTGATTTAGCCCTGTCAACGATAAAGATTTATTCCTCCATAAAACAAGGAAACTCTACACAGATGCATCAAATAAAGTGTTTTTGTTTTCTCACCAAGCACAGTATGTATCTCCTTGGAGAAGCTGTCGGGTCAGGAAGGCCGAGCATAAGCTGAAAGCTGCCCTCTCGTCTCTATCCGACTCCAGGTTGCAGATCATCTCCAAAGCATCGCGACAGTCCTCCTTTGAAAGCTGCAGAGATAGATGCCATGTACACAGCAAGTAAGTTTCACTGGAAAACTACCCCCCCCCACACACACTTAAGGAAATGCCACAAATGCCCAAGCAGACAGTGTGACAAACTGCTTTTAAGTGTGGTCTGCCATCTTGTGGATGAGAAAGCTATTACAGGACAAGGTCTGAAAGGTACAGACTCAGAGGAAGGCATAGCACAGATGGCAGAAGAGTAAGGACTGCAGCAAGGTGCATGCACAACAATAGTATTTACTGAACATTGGTCTCCTTGATTCAACTAATATAATGCAAAGCTCTACTAGGTGTGATCACATCCTTTATGCAAAATGACCCTTTTCCAGGCTCTTGCATTTAAAGAAAATCTCTAACCTCTGTACTATATACAGTAATTACACTTACCTCGTCCATGAGCTGATCCTGTTCTGAGGTAGCACAGAGGCAGACGAGGTACATCTGCTTGAAATTCCCCTTCCCTTGGAAGGCAGGACACTCGGAGCACGTCTTTGCCAGCAGTGCAGCTTTCCCTGGCTGATTCTCCTTCATCAGCTGCTTCACTCTCATCTCCAACAGGACCAGCCCCTCCTGCACCAAGAACTCCTCGACTGAAATGGAAATATTGATAGTGACAATTTATTGTAATTTGTGTGCACCCATCACTTTAAAGCAAAGCTGGAAATGCAAATGTATTCCTTATTCTGCACCCTGAATCAGAGGAAATTTCACTGCAAAAATCAGCAAAACTGAATTGTATGTCTCTAATCAACGAGAACTATACTCTGTTTTATTTCTGGTCCTTTAGTTGGTCCTTGCTATGCAGACAAATTGAGCAGAATCTGCCAGCTTTACCTGTGGTGTGCACTGGTGTATACAACTTAAATATAAGGAGTTGGCTTCCAAAATTGGACTTTGTATATGTGCTACTGAGTGAAACTGGATAGAATTAATTTAGTTGTGATGGTCAAAGTAAAGGCATTGCAAATTACAAATACCTACTCAACTCCTCATTATCCAATGTGTTTTATTAGGTTATTCTAGACATGTGGGTTTGGGGGATATTGTCATTGACATACCTGGACACATTCAACAGCTGAAGTCATTTTAACGACACAATCCATGTGAGAACGACAAACCGTAGAATGCATATAATGAAGTTTCTGACTGCTTTTTTGCCATTTAACCTCAATTTCTTGAAAAGCATGTGATATACAGTCCTTAGAGTGATATCAATGCAGGCTCTATCTGCAAGAAATGCCATCAGCATTTGTGTTTTGCAACATACATTACACTCAGCATGATGATGCCACCACTAAGCTTCACAGCGATTTGTGCTTTTCTTGTCATGTGTGACGTCTAACTTTTTTTGATATCATGGCTTAAAGGCCAATTTTGGCCTCGTCGTCAGATCATAGAACCTTATTCCTTCCACCAAGGAGGCTTTTCTGTGCTGTTTGTTGGTTAGCAGGATTAAGGACAACTGGCCCAATTTTCATGAAACTTGGTGGAAAGGTCAAGCATGAGCTAAAGATCATATACAATTTTGGAGTGCATCCAAATCCCAGGGCAGATACCCTAAGAATTTTTTAACATTACAAAACAGGTCATTTGTAATACTGACATATATGGTAGTTGCAGTTGCTGATTTGCATAGGATATAAAACTGGACTGTCGGCTTTGGCGGATGCCAAGCTGCCATGGCCAAGTTTCAGTCCACTGGGGCTCCCAGGAGATATGAAAGCAGAGGGCAACATTTTTTTTTAAAGAGCCAGTGGGATCTATTGTCAGAATTGGAATACAATATTTATAGGAATGTTTTAATTAGTGTATAATCACCTGAAAATAAAATAATTCTTGTGTTTTCTCTACCTTAGAAAGAGCCTTTTATATCTATAGATGCCAGGGGTCACTTCCATGGAATCTGCCATGTTATTCTACCATGTCTCTACCATAGCCCAGAAGGAGTAAACCAAACACTTGCTCTAGATAGCACAAACTTGTGCTTTAGCCTACAAATCACAGACAGACAGTCAATTGTTAGTTGTATTTAAGAGTAAGGACCACACCATCTAACTGGACCCAAAATTACATTTACATGCTGTTTAATGGGCTGTAGCTAAGCAGCTAATCAGCAATCTAACCTGTAAAGCCTGACATTACTTACAACATGCAAACATTCACCTGGGGAAAATGCACTGCTGAGGTGAAGGACAAGATGTGTGTTCATGTTTGTAAGTTAGACAAGAAGGAGACTTTAGCAGGAAAGCTAATGTGAGTTGCTGTTCAGAGTCTGTGGCTCTTGTGCTGTGTAGGAGACCGTCTTGCTCAGTATGACAAAAAGCTGATGTTACTTCTTTATGCAAGATTTGATTGTATCAAAATAAGGTCTCCAGTAGACAAAGAGGAGGAGCCTTCATGAAACCTTTTGGTTCTGGGTTTTCTTTTCTTAAAAGGAGAACATGGGACAAGTGATTATCAGATATGTATAGTTTAGGAGCTCACCAAAAAGCAATTTCTCTTAATATGACAGTACACTACTCACCACTACTGGAGATACGCACAAAAAACAAACAAACATATAAATGCCTCCCTCCCTGCATTTTAAGTAATATTCTTTGGAAAATCGTCAGAGACTTCCAGGAACTCACCTTCTTCAGTCTGTTGGTTTTCACTGGACAGAAGGCCTTGCAGGACTCTGTTGGTCCAAACACCATCATACTGGGCCAGAGCAGACAGCAGGGATAGCTGAGTGATTCCATTCTCCTGCAGCTTAATGTAAGCAAACTGTACACAAGAGGAAAACTCCATGACTTAAAGATATAATGCACAAGGTATGCGAATACCTGAGGTTTGAGTCTATTTAGTCAAGATTTTGGTAGGGCTGGAACTGCACAATGCTGTGAACCCTGCATATGATGAAGTAAAATTAGCTTGAAGTCATACTTCCTCACTTGAATCTGAAGATGTAACAAGTGTTTAGCACAGGAAGGCATTTAGAAATTTCAACTATAAATGCTTGGAAGGTCAATTTCAATAAACTCATTCTTTCTTAAAATGAGAATCCTCAGCTTTACCTGCACAGATGACTTGAATTCTTTCCATAAGCCATCTGGAATGTCATTCTTCAGTGAGAGCAGAAGCTCCACAAAACTCCTGCAGGACAAATATGGAGTCAACAAAAACACAGGTCTTTGCCTGTACAGGGAAACCTCTAATAGAATTATGAAAATGGCTATAATTTAGCTTTTGCATCCAGGTAGCATTAAACATGATGATTACTGATTATGAACTGAATATTTTATCGGCAGTTAATCACTTTAATGGTACTTACAGTGAGAGCCTCTCAACCACAAGGGTAACATTTTCACACTGCAGGGAGAGGTATGGAGAGGCCTGGGCGTAACTCAGCAGGGCCACTATGTACACTTCCACCAGCGGCAAAGGCTCTTCCTCTATCCTCCAACGGCCTGCATACTCCAGCAGTGTCTGTGGAGAGGGAACCACAGTCAGTCACTCACTGCACAACCATTTAAAGAGACCATGTTTGAGCTGACAACCTTTACCAATAGGGCCGTGTAATGGCAAGAATCTGGCAATACGTTTTGCAATACAGTGGTTAGGATTGGGTATAATACTGTAAACAACTCTTTTCACTTTTTTAACAGTGGGATCTGTATTTGTATATATCACAATTGTAACATCCAACATCATAACCCTCACTCAACTAGTGGTTGGAGAATTACACCAAGATCGAAATCAATACCAAGAGTTTGAAAATAAAACAGAAAGTTGGGCACAAGCAATTATGCCCACCAGACTTCTTAGGACTACTCTTAACCAAGAGCTATTCAATTTTCAAGCATATATTACTGGATTCTTCTTCTTCTTCTTCTTCCAAAACAAATGCTTACCTAGAGCTGGTGTTCAGTTTGTCTGTTCTGGGCTACTGCAGAAACACTGTTTTCTACAAGTTGGACAAGAAGAGCAAAAGAGAACCTGCTCCCTAAGATAAAAATGGCTTATTCTAAGATAACAGAAACATGATTCCTATATTCAGGTCATTATACACTAATGAAAACATAGCTATGAATATTATATTCCATTTCTGACTATAGTTCCTCCTAAATGTTACACACCATATCCATATTACTTTTTAGATAGCATTTCGACCAATGCTATCACCTCTTTCTCTCTTTACACGGACGGTTTACCTGCATGCAGCCAAAGCCCGCTCAAACGTGAATGGTCCATACCGCTTGCACTACAAAGAGAAACCAGAGCGCTTCCGATACCAAATCATATCCCCTGTCTAGAGATTCTGCATTCATATGCAGATACCCAGATATCTGTTTGGAGATATTAAGTCACTGTGAACATCCATGCTGACCTTGGTCATGCAAAGCAGTCTTGTCCCTGCAGGACAGAGCCGCCTGCAGGGACCAGAACCAAGCCAAGTGCAAACAACTCTGCATTATCTCTGCTTCTCAGATGTCTCAACTTCATCCTACACACTCACAAACCTCCACCCACAGCATCTCCCTTTGGGCTCTTTACTGTTTACACTTTTAACCACAAAAAAAAACACAACAACTAAACAATAACATGCTGAACATATTAGAACAAACTCCAAGATACAGTAGATATAGATTTTCATACGAGGTTGATGTGCAGCTGACCTCAGCGTCCCGTTTTCTCTGGGACAATAATAAAAACAGCACCTGGGACAGACAGATACACTATCTGGGACAATTTGGTGAAAAATCTATCATCATAAAGGCAAATTATAATGTTTATGTGTCATGAAATATTTATAAGGGATGTTCAATACACTCTGGGTGCTGGTTCTCACAAATTAATCAAGAAACGATAACGCAACCAATGTCTAAAAGAATAATGAAAACCAACTGTAGCCAAACCTCTGTGATGTTAATGCAAGAAACAACAGAACTTCCATGTTGAACCGGAGTGAATTAATGATATCATTCATGTGTCCCTTACTACACCTGGCCTAGCTAAAATTAAGAAATGGATATGTAAAATGTTCCTGCGGTTAAATGATTCAAATTCAGAAATAATAGTAATTATACCCCCTCTGGCCACAGCACTAGCAGAATTAACACTCTCATCTAGTGCCTTATTTAATAATGGGGGGGGAACAGACCCATAATTAGGGGTGGGCAAAAATATCGATTCATCAATGCATTGCAAAATATTTTTTCCCAATTCAATAATCTATTCATTTAATTCTCTGAATCGATTCAAGCCCCTGGCCAGCGGGGGCGCAGTGAGCAACATCTTTGTGTGATTTGCGTTGTACTGACGGAGGCCACACTTGACCACACAACAAAGGGCTCCAACAAAGGGCTTTTTCTAGGTTGCACTGGTGCACCCGACGCTTCCCGGGTGAAAACATAAATTTAATAAAGCGGATCAAGAGCATCTCTGTGTTCTCCTGTGACCCAACTCACACACTCATGGTAGGATCATATCGTGTTCTAAACCAATAAGAGACAGAGCTCGGGCGGGTCTTTGCCTCTGATTGGCTGTGGTCCTGTTCACCGCGCTAAGCTGCGTGTGTTTAAAAATTGCGCGCGACCTGAGAGCTGACTAACTGAAACGGAAAAATAAAATAAACGCGACAAAACGAGGGAAAAGAGAGGCAGAAATATTGAAAGTTTTTTCATTAAGAAAACCAAGCCTACAACCAGCCCTACTACTATAATCCCATCCATCCCCACTACTGAGAGTCCATCCCGTCAAGACACGGAGCCCTCGGTCCCTGGTGAGATACCAAGCCCCGGTCCTTCGGCGACAGCATCAGACTCGGAACCAGAGGAGGAGACAACTGAGTCTGGATAGAGCCCGGCTCCGAGACCCAAATTAAAAAGGCCAAAATATATTCCTTCAGACAGGACTGGCTGCAACAATTTCCCTGGCTGAGGTACAACAAAGGACGTAAAGCAATGCACTGCGTGTACTGTCAGCAGTGCGGTCAGAATATGGCCGGAAATATTGCATACGTGAGCGGGTCAACAACGTTTCATATCGAAACTTTAAAAAAACATAACATGTCTAAAAATACACAATATGCCGTGACAAGTGTGTGTAGAGAAAGTGGCCCCTCTCCCAGCTGCATTTCAGCGGCAGGTAGTAGTAATCATTATTATCATCATTAATAATTATTTTACTTGAAATGTTTGAGTTTGAAATGTTCAATTTCAGTTCAGTGAAGCAATTTAAGCACAATCACTTTTATATGGAAATGTTTTATTTTGCTTAGTGTTTTAGTTTAAAATGTTTAATTTCAGCTCAGTGAAGCACTTTAAACACTTTATTTTTCTTTTTATATATAATTGTGCTTCAAATAAAGACAAGCATTTCTCTACACCTTATTCTTGTTTAAAAATCATTCACATTATATAAAAGTTATGGAGAGCAATAAAAAGATGACCTTATGGCGTTAAAGGTGACGCAATGAAAATTTTGGGTGCACCTACATTTTGTGCTGGTGCACCTAAGAAAAAAAGTTAGGCGCACCAGTGCAACCAATGCAAAAAGTTAGTCTGGAGCCCTGCAACAACAACAACAACATGGCAACCGAAGCAGGTAGCAGCAGTGTTAAACCAGCGCCTTCAACTTTAAAAGCAGACGTTTGGAGTCATTTTGGATTCCAGTGTAAACCCGGAACACAGGATATAGACAAAAGTGAGGTAGTGTGTAAGCTGTGCCAGGCAGTACTAAAATACTGCAATAACACAACAAATTTCCACACACACTAAAGCCGACACCATGCAGATGCTCTGCGGCTAAACCTGTGGATTCAAAACAGACCCAACTCGACAGATCCTTCCTTTGCAAACTGCCGCCAAACTCTGCCCACGCACAGAAGATAACGGAGTGTGTGGCCGTCTTCATATGTAAGGACCTACGACCGTACAGTGTCTTGGAAAACGGGGGTTTTAAGAAGATGGTATACACACTCGAACCACGATACGCCATACCAACACGCAAACACATGACGGAAGTCGCCGTCCCGAAGCTGTTTATTATTACATTTATTTATTACTGAATTGATATCCAAGCATTTAAATCAATATCGAAAAATTAACAATACCCAGCCCTACCCATAATCAAGGTGTAATTTTTGATGGTTCTCACAGACTGAAGTTGTGCCGTTCTGCTTTGTCCAACTGAGACATTTAACCAAATTCAGGTCAGTCCTTTCATCTGCAGATCTAGACAAGGTCATCTATGCACTTCTCTCCTCCAGACTTTACTACTGCAACACACTTTATTTTAGTACCCGCAGGCACAACATCTTACAGCTTAAACAGCAGCAACAGTCCTTGCTGCCCTTCGCTTTTGAGTTTTAGAATTGATTGTAAGATGATGGTTCCAAAATCTCAACTTGTCTCCATGGGTGACAGGGCCTTTGCTGTCCAAGCCCCTCAGCTGTGGAACTCCCTGCCTGAGGATCTAAGGCAAACTTACTGTATGTTGTGACTTTCTTGGATGTGGTTAAAAGCAAATGTCCCCTGATTAAAAAGTTACTGTTCTTCATTAGATGAAATTGCCCACTGGAATACTGACAGAACTGAAATGGCTTTAATGTTCTTAGTGGTGTGTTGAATATGATCCCACTGAGACTTGCTCACATTTGATCAGTCTGCCTTTGGGCAAATGTTCCAACAAGTAACAGTAAGTTTTGGAACTAGCTGTCAGTCTGGAAACCAGACAGCTGCTTTTGTTTGCCAAAGCTCACAGAATAGTTATCATAATTTAACAGTTAATTATTAAAGTGATAATGAGCTTGGCTGTTACGTTTTGTGTCTTGGCTCTCAAGACACGCACAGTAAGTGGATTTGACAAAAGACAAACCCATCTACTCGAGGGGTGGAAGAAGTATACAGATCTTTAAGTTAAGTCCTGCATTCAAAACATTACTTAAGTGAAAGTACAAAAATATTAGCATATAGTATTAGCATTAGCAAAAGTACTCAGTATGCAGAATTGCTCATTTCAGAGGAACGTATTTATTTTGAATTATAAATAGTGATGCATTATGTGTGGGGGAAAATTTCAGACCCTGAACATCAGACAAAGACAGAGTTTACAGGGACTGGTGTAAAAAACAAAATTCATCCAGAGAGCTGCAGTTCTGTGGGCGAAAAAAGCCTTGTTAATGTGAGGGGTCAGAGGAGAATAGCCAGACTGGTTCAAGTTTACAGCTGAGCGATAGTGACTCAAAAGACCTCGCTGCGTTACAAAACTTCTATGAAGAAAAGCATTTCTGAACACACTACACATGGAAGCTTGAAGCAGACGGGCTCCAGCAGCACGACTACACCAGCACGACTACACCGAGCACCGCTCCTGTCATCTAAGAATGGGAAACTGAGGCGAGAGTGGGCACAGACTCACCAAAACTCAGCAGTAGAGGTTGCCGCCTGGTCTGATGAAAATCAATCAATCAATCAATCTTTGTGCTACCATGTGAAGATAGTAGGGTCAGAACAAGATCAATCCACCCTGACTTGTGTCAACAGTTTAGGTTGTTGGTGGTGTGAATGTGTGGGGATCTTTTTCTTGGCATACATTAGGCCACTTATTACCAATGAGAATCGCTTAAATTCCACATCCTACCTGAGTATTGTTGCCAACCATTTATATCCCTTTATGGATAGACTCTTCTTCCGGCAGGATTTGTCACAAAGCTCATCATGTCAAGCCGTTTCCACCAACAGGATAATAAATTCAGTGTACTCAAACCGCCTCCAAAGTCACCGGATCAATAAAGAGCACCTTTGGGTAAAGCTGGGCACTCATCTACACAGAACATGTGGAGTAATATCCCCATAGTATCCCATATGAGAAGAAGGGGCCCCAGTGATAGCACATTTTACATGTGGTGGCATTTCACATTGAAAGTGTACAAAGTGTAGTAGTTTGTTTTTAAGAAGAAAAAAAAGGATTGAAATTGTAAATATGGTTTGGATTTGACTTTTAGGCCATATTGCCCAGCCCTACCTTCAGGATGTGGTGGAACCAAAGTGCATCTGAAAAACCTGCAGCCACTGCGTGATAGCATCATTCTAAGGAATGTTTCGAGCACCTTGTTGATCCGTGCCATAAAGAATCTGTGGAGCAAAGGAGGGTCCTGACCACTATCAAAATCTTAACCTACTTTACCTAATATATTTTGTGATTTCAAAAGTTATGAGTCTGAGACTCCATTTACAATCAGTGATTGCTGATATATTCGCCTGTGTGTGCTGCGCCAGTGCGAGGAAACTAAAATATATAAAAACACCTACTGAATTGAAGTTTCTGTTTGTTAACTGCCTTGTTAAATCACCTTAAAACACACTTCATCTCACTCATTCATTAGTTAGATGTGGAGATATTCTGGCTAGTGCTGTCAGTTAAATGCGTTACTAACAGTGTTAACTAGGGCTGGGGGTAAACGATTATTTATTCAACGATTAATCTGGCGATTATTTTATCGATTAGTCGACTAATCTAACGACTAATTGGACGATTAACGTGAGTTAGCTAACGTTAGACAGATAACGTTAAAAGCTACTGCAATCCTCTTGCTACCGTTAGCTAGATCTAGCAGCTGTGCACTTTGGTGGTGCTAGGCTAACCAACACATCTTAGCTCTCTCTCTGAAACGGAGGCACCCGTTTGCCACTCGCGAAGGAGACAACAATCTCAAAACAAAATCAATCTCATGCCGGTGCAGCCCGCCGCGCAGCCCGAGCTCCGCACACCCCTGTGGCGCCAGCCAACCACCCCAGCCCCCCGCGCAGCCCGCCCGCGGCAGGCCAGCAGCCAAAGCCCATGCCGGCCACTACTATAGATAGCTGTGTTCTGCAGCCGTAAGCCAGATACTATTCAAGCCAACATTAGATGATAACTAACGTTAGCTAAAACACAGCTGTCTGGGCGCCAGTAGCTAGCCAACGTTAACGTTAGCCACCAACCCAGCACGAACAAACCGCACGGAGAGCCAAGACAGCCGGTCAGCACCACCAAAGTGTGCAGAGCCTGAGCCACACAACACACAACACAAACATGAAACCAACACAGCCAACGGCAGCACCCACCTGCCACCGTCTCCTCCACGGGCGACAACGGGGCGCCGCCGCCCCAGATGCTCCCACATTGCCAAATGGAGTTGGCATACCACACCAGCACCACAGCAAAGCTCCAATAACCACACCTTTACGTTTGGGACTAAATCTGAAGTATTCCCATACCATCGATGATTTAGGGCGAGCGTTTTTTTTTAGGACTTTTTCTTTCATTGGGGCTTTTATTGGAAATTCTGTGAGGAGGTTGCTGTTTCGTCCTCCATTCTGCAATGTTTTGGTCTCCCACGTGTGTGTGTAGAGCTGTGACGAAGCATCGACGCATCGCTACAGGCCTAGTGTTAACACAAACCCATTTTAACGGCGTCAGTTTTTTTAATTGCGAGATTAACGTTCTTTTTGGCTTGGCACACTTTGTAGTTTTTTCACATGCTGTTGCAACAACTAGTAACTACAACACCACACCGGATCTAGCTAGACCGGAAACAAAACAACAGGCACGCCGCACACACTTGCTTAAGAGTAGCAGACGTTACGTTTTGAGTGGATGGCGAGCGCGAGACGCCGAAATGGATGCCAATAATATTCTGAATGGAAAGTTTACTTTTAAAAAGTTGCCAAATGGTTCCATTGACAAGACCAAAGTGATCTGTGTGTTTTGTCGTTGTGAACTGAGCTATCATCGCAGCACGTCCAGTCTGAAATACCACTTGATGGCCAAACACACAGCTGATGAGAATTCTCCGCCCCCTCGTCAGAGCCAGGCGACAATGGATGACTTTTCAATAAAAACAACATTTGCACAAAGCAAGCCGATCCACTTTTCCATGTTGATAAGAGCATTACAATGAGAAAAAATAATGGGACATAAAGAAATCAAGGGACATTTAGAATAGATAAAAATGTGCAATTAATTGCGAGTTAACTATGACATTAATGCGATTAATCGTGATTAAATATTTTAATCGTTTGACAGCACTAATTCTGGCTCTACACACTGTCGCTGCCTCTGTCTGTCAGATGCCCAACCTCCCTGTCCCTCCTCTGCTTTACACATGTCCTCTCCAGGCCTGGGGAAAATCCTGTCCCCGTATCTCCCCGGGGTAACAGTCCTGGTTGAAGCCTTTGTGAATCACCTTGTTACTGTATTTCCTGTGTTGTTAAAAGTAGGTGAAATAAACCCTTAAGGTCTAACAGCAGGTCGGTCAATTCCCTGTCAAACACTTTACCACAAAAGAAGAGAAATGTTGTGAAAAGAGAGAACAGGTTTCCTCTATCCGGTTCAAGTTATCAAGTCTTTTGTGTACATGCATTTACTGCCAGCGCAATTATAGTAAGCAGCCTTTTACTTTAACTCTAAATATTAACTTAAAATAAAGGTTAATTACACTAACTACACAGACACATTTCAAACATTGGTCGAAACAGGTTGAGTGTGATTTTTGACAGTATCTCTGTAATCTTTGAGTTATCCGTTATAGATTTTTTCCCAGAATTTCCTCGCTATGGCCAACTCTCATCAATAAGAAGCTTTGTAAATGCATTCATATCTATCAGTAATGCTTCTTATGCCCTCTACAAGCCCTTCTACTCATTTACTTTTTGAGAACAGCTGTGTTGTGTTGATTAGACTACATAGTCATTTGTTGTGCCATAACAGTCTGTGTGCTGTTTCTGGAGACAGTGGACACATTTCATTTCACAAAATCCGCTCACTAAGAAAAGCACAACAATAGTGAGCGTCGGGATGCTTGGTGCAGATCCGCCCTCCCTGTGCTCTCATCCGCTCACTCCGAACCGTGCAGATGGCTTACTAATGGGCAGCGTGCAGGTCTCCAGGGAGAGTGGCTGCAGTTGATGTTGTATTGATTTTAGTATGCAACCGAGGTGGAAAACGGCGTGTCTCTCCTGCAAAAGCGTACGCTCGATTCGGCACGTACACACACGAAATTCATCGCGGGAAAAAAAACCTAACAAACCGTGCCGTTCTCCCGTGAAGTCTTATCGAATTCCCTACACTTCATGCAGGGTTGTTGACTGAAAAGGGCCAGGTTGTTGTTGTTGTTGTTGACAGCAGAATATGGGTCACTGGCTAACTTCCAACAAAGCCCCTATAGGAGTAAGAGTAATTGGTTTAGTTAGCCGGGGGCTGCTTTACCTCCATAGACAATCACCGAAATTATGCTCACGTGCACGCGCATGTAGCCAAACATACAAGGCTAAAAGCTAATGTTAGGCTAACTGCAGGTAGAACTGTTTGGGTCGATATACTACACAGTAGCTGGGGGATGAACCAAACACAGAGACCAGTTGGTATTAATGCGTTGGAATCAGACAACAACAGATAACCAGAGATGTATCTGAAAGGATTTTTAACGCCAATAACATTATGGTTTACTATCTCCTACAGACAACCGTCAGCTAGCGAGTGCTAGTAGCTAGAGGAGCTAGCTATGTCAGCGGTCAGATTGAGTAGTATTTGTACACTCTGCTTCAGCGACTAGCCGAAGTTTAAACAATGCACATGCTTTTATTCTGGGACGGGACAAACTCTTAATACAACTGCCCTGCCCATTCGAGCATAGCTCGGCTCTGAAATCAAACATTTCCCTGGTTTATCCAGGAGCTAGGACGCACCGTTATTATCAATGCTAACCATAGCTTGTTAACGAACGTTAAATATGTGGGGGGGAATAACTCACCCTACAAAACTCTTGGCAATACTCAGAAGAGGAGTGGGCTGGAGAGTCGCTGCTTTCTCTAACCGCGACTTCTTGCAGTTGTTGCAACCGCTGTCTGAGTTCCCCAATCGTTTCACTGATACCGTTCTCAGGACTACGGTCCTGCTCGGCCTCCTCGTCCGCCATCTTCACACCCAGCTCTAGCGCGTACCACTACGGCGTAGCTACGTAGCTCTTCTTCTTCCTCTTTTAATGGCGAGTGGCAAATCAGCTTCTAGATGCATTGCCGACACCTACTGAACTGGAGCGTGGAGAGTAGAGAGGAGCTTTTCCATTGCAAAATTGAACAGCAATAAACGGTAGGCATATAACGTTAGGCCAAGACGTACACAGAGCAATTCAGACAGTAGTTTTTAAGCCTTTGGGGTTGTAGAGTGCTGAATAGTTTGCATGTATTGTTGCATTTCATAATACAAAATAAATTAAGTAAAGGTTTTCTGTAATAAAATGTACTTGCGAATGTAAAATTATATTATTAAAAGGTTTATAATGTTTCTTTTAAATTGCACAAATAACAAACAGCACATCTTTGGATAGTAATAAAAGTGTACAAAAATGTCACAAGGAATGTACTGGACAAATCTTACAAAAAACAATATTTATATATGAGGACAGCCACAAACAAGTGTATGATTGTCTCACTATCAAATCCACAGAAAGAGCATGATGTTAGAGGCAGACCAATATATATTGGTTGGCTGATATTGGCCTATCGCAGACACGTAGTGTATTGGTATCGGTGTATATATTATCTGAAATGAAAACAGTTTTCCCCGGTATACAATGCAGAAAACAGTGCTTGTGGTAATATATTGGTGTCACTACAAAGTTTATCCAGCAGAGTACACTGTGATTTACAATACTGTGGCTAGTTGCTGAGAGTAAAGAGAAGAAGCAGCTCCCAGCAATGCCAGCTAGAATTGGTTCACAATGTATACATTTTTTAATTTTTTAAAATTATATTATGGGTTTTTTTTAAAAAGAAAGCAACCTTCTGAGTACCTTTGCAGAGTCATTTCAATCCATGTAGAAAATGTGACATTTTCATTCCAGCTCAAAAATTTTATATATCAGCCGCCATATTGGTAATCATAGATTGTTTTTTCCCCCTCTAAAATCGGTATCGATCTTCAAAAACCCATATTGGTCAGGCTGTAGTTAATAATCAATCAGTGGATTGGAGCTATGCAGGTTTATAAAGTGCTGCAAATGTTGTCATGTTGTACAAGTTACATCAGGATTGATTTAAAAGATTAATGATTTAAATGATTCAACTGAAGGTAAACAACTCTGCTTTTATTTACTGTGTATCACGTCTTTGTCATTTTATCTTTTTTTACCCCTACCATCATGTTTCCTAGCTGAACAGTGACAGGAAGGGAGGGGGGGGAGGAATGCAGCAAAGGGACATAAGTCAGACTGAAACCCATGGTTGCAGCGAGGACTCAGTCTTATATGCAGCTCTATGTTCTGGTTGTTTTCAATAAAGGCAAAAATAATGTCTTAAAAAAGGACAGGATATGTGGACAAAGCACCATGCAGCTTATTGCTTATTACATATACATACATATATATTATTATGGGTGGGTGTGGGTCAGAGGTAGAGAGGTCCTCCACTAATCGGAAGGTTGGCGGTTTTATCCTCAGCTCTTCTCGCTGCATGTCAAAGTGTCCTTGAGCAAGATACTGAGCCCCAAATTGCTCCCGATGCTCTGCATCAGTGTATGAATGTGTGTGAATGGGGTGAGTGTGGCATGTAGTGTACAGCGCATTGAGTGGTCGAAAGACTAGAAATGCACTATATAAGTGCATACCATTTACATATACTCAATTAGTTATTGATTTGGCTTTATATGTTTTTGATATTTTATCCTGTGCACAGATACTGACAGCAGTGCACACCGCACATTATGTGCCAGGATTACAGGAAAGGAGGAAGTTGACAGAGGTTTTGACTGAGAATTGCTCAACTGTTATTGGAGCACAGAGCAAAAAGAGGTGGGAATTTGCAGTTTGTTGAGCTCTTGGGGCCACTGTTTGAAAGATCACAGATGACAATATATGAATGAAAGTTATGTGATGAATGAAAAGTAGTTATAAAGAATTCCTTTATTGAGGAAAACAGAGAATACATTGTTTGCTGAGGTGTAACTTTTTTCCTTCAAAAGCACAACATCACACTCCATATTGCCAGGAGACAGACGGTAAGTTAAAAGTGTATACATTCCCTTTGGTATTCTTAACCTTGGACCTATGCATGCTCTTTTCTCTTGAGCAGCTTTTTAAAAGCCAGCTTGAAATCGTCATTGAAGCTGGTGTACAGCAGGGGATTAATGAGAGAGTTGATGTAACCCAGCCAGGTCAGGAAGTCAGAGAGAAGCTGAGAAGGCTGCAACACTTGCAGACCCACCAGGAGCTCCTTCAAAAAGAAAGGCAGCCAGCAGATGATGAAGGCCCCGAGGATGAGGCCTAGGATTCGCGCTGCTTTCCTCTCGCGTGAGGTGCATATCTGGTTTTTCTCATCCTGCCTGTCCATGTCTGTCTCAAAGGACGGGATGCAGATGTTGGCGTTGAGTTTGTCAGGAGCCAGTGTGGGATCGGAGTTGGACAAGTCTGACACACAGAAAGTGTGGGAGACCCGACAATGGTCCACAGAGTTTTGACTACCCATGCTGCGGCTGCTGAGGTGCCGAGAAGAGCCACGCTTCTGGTAAAGAGTTTTGGCGGCATTGTAAATCCTGTAGTATAAGATAAGAATGATGATCATGGGGATGTAAAACGCCCCCAAAGTAGAATATATAGTGTATCCCAGGTGGTCGTGCTCTATGATGCACTGATGGAAGCTGTCGCTGATGGGCCTCTGCCTCCAGAACAAGGGCGGCATGGATATGAAAACTGAGATGACCCAGACTATTCCCACCATGATGGCGGCACGGCGGCCTGACCTCTTGCGAGCGTACTCGATAGCTTTGGTGATGGCCCAGTACCGGTCCAGGGCGATGACGCACAGGTGTAGGATGGAGCAGGTGCAGCAGGTCATGTCCACACTCAACCACATCTCGCATACCACCTGACCCAGCGACCACGTCTCCATGGTGATGTAGAGGATGCTGATGGGCATGACGAGTAGTGCCACCAGGAAATCAGTGACGGCCAGGGAGCAGATGAGGTAGTTGGCGGGCATGTGGAGCTTCTTGGTGGTGCAGATGGCGGCGATAACGGCGCCGTTGATGAGCACAGTGAGGAGAGTGAGGAGACCAAGAATGACCACCACCACCGCCATCCCGTCTGTGAACTGGACTGCCTGCAGGCTGCTGGCCGGTAAGACGGTGCAGTTTGTGATGTTAGGTCCCGAGGTGCTCCCCCCTGGGTAGCTGTCCATGTCCATCCCTGGACCCAGGCTAGCCCCTTCCTCCCGGAAATCACTCCCAGGGAGACGGTGCTCCCTCCAGGGTCAAAGGTCAGTCTGAAACAACAAAACAGGCAAATAGAACATTAGAGACAACCTAAAAGTGCACATTTAATGCTTTGCTTTCCACCCAATGTATGCTGGGATACCTTGCAGATCCTCAACAGGAACCTGTTAAGTGAAGAGATTGGAAATTTAATGTTGCTTTGTCTAGGTTTTATGGGGATGGTCTGTTGCTTAGTCCAATAGTTGACTGTTAATCTGTGCCAGGCATCTTAAAAGTAAATGGTCAGATCAGATTGCATTTGTCATTGATATGTATAGTCCCAAGAGAATAAAATGAATTGTTTTCCCTAGCACCACAGAGAAAAACTAGAATTACCACCCTGTGGTTGTATGCCCAACCACTCAAGTTACAGTTCACGTCCTTGTCTGTCCAGAGTCCTAATATCTGTGGTCCAGATTTTGTTGGAATTATATAAAAGGTATAAAGTGTATTTTTTGGCTAAAGGAAAGTTAGCACTACATAAATATGTGTATTTGTCCAGTGAATATACATTTTTGAACTGATTAATGAAGGATTATCATAGATGTATTGGCTAAATAGACACACATCTACTTGATTACTATGTAAAGATGGATTCTTAGTATAATATAGCTATACTATGGTGCTTTTGATTTCACCATTAGCTCAACGCTCCAATACAGTGTTTGCAGTCAGGTCAAATTCAGAATGAGGCAGGAAGTGAAAGGCAGAATGGATGAGATGGAAAATTGAAAGCCAGTACTGTGCTACTTATTGTTTACTCACTGTGTTGTCCCAGTCATCGTGTGTGTGAAATCTGGAATTTATTCTTAAATTTGGCTAAAAACCTATTTTGAGGTCACAGTGACCTTTGACCTTTGAGTCAAAAGTGTCACCTGTTCGGTGTCCGACCAACTGTGAAATATGGTCACAATATGCCCTTCTGTCCCTGGGTTATGGTGTTGAATAATAGACAAAAAAGGACACTATGATATGATCACAGTGAAGTTGACCTTCGACCCTTTAGGTAAAACAAGTCATCACTTCATTGTTGTATTCCATCAAACATGTGTGTGACATTTTATCATAATTACAGCATCAATTCTCAAGTTATGACCAAAGACGTTTGGTTGGATGGACAGATGAAAACACAATGCCTCCGACCACGGCTATCACTGGTGCAGAGGCATAAATAGAGTTGTTGAATGGAGAGAATTTAAAAAATGCAGGTACTTCATGTCACAAAGAAAAGATCTACCCTGGAAGCTACTTTGGCTGGTGATATGATAATTACATCCTACCAAATTGGTAAAAAACAAAACAAAGCAATAGTGGGATGCCTACACCATTGGAAACAAGTAATAAACATGGGATTTAGTCAAGTTTATTTATCACAATAAGAAAGAGGACCCTAGGTCACACATATCTGCAAAGTGTTATCAATAACACAATCAATCAGTATCAGTATCTACAGCCTGTCGGACTCTCTCATAATGCAGGGTGTAATGAATGTTGTAGCTTCTCTAGCCTAGAGCTTAAAATAAGAGTGAAGTCCTGCTAGCAGACTTCACTCTTATTTTAAGCTGTCAAAACATCAGTCATCATTGATTAGACCTTACGAGGCAGTCTTTACAGCTGTTCCTGCAGTCACTGTGTGTTCTTTAGATACCTTTTTTTGGAAGTTAAAGACACAACCTTGGCTGTATTAGTCCCATGGGTGTCCAAAGTACAAGCCTGCCAGTCCTTTGGTTTGATTAATGAGTACTATTAGCTGGACCATTCAAGTTTTGTAGTGTCTCTCAAAAAGTCAGTAGAGCCATAATGGAGCCACTTTTTCAATTCAATTCAATTCAATGGTAATGACAGAAGGACAGAGAGAGAGAGAGAGAGAGAGAGAGAGAGAGAGAGAGAGAGAGAGAGACAAAGGTGCACAGCAACAACAGTAGCAACAACTACACTAATAGTAGTGACTGATGATGATGATAAACATGAAGAAGAAGATGATGATGACGACGACAACAACAACAATGGGAGACAATGAGCAGTGACTATATAATATAGTAACTTATAATAGCAACTGTAGTAATAATAATAATAAAACAACAATAATATCAGTAATATTAGCAATGGGAGTCAAGCAGGACCATGGCAGGAGAATCCACCAGGATCCATGAGAACCTGCGAGACGAGAAAGCACAAGAACTCCAGGGAAGAAGTGAAGTTAGTAACATGCATTAATGGAACATGAATGAGTGCAGAAAGAGAGAGGAAGGGAGGAGCTCATCATGGGAAATCCCCAATAGTCTAGGCCTATAGCAGCATAGCTAGGGGATGGTTCAGGACTCACCTGATCCAGCCCTAACTATAAGCTTTATCAAAGAGGAATGTCTTAAGCCTACTCTTAAATGTGGAGATGGTGTCTCCCTCCCAAACCATAACTGGAAGCTGGTTCCACAGGAGAGGATCTTGGTAACTGAAGGCTCTGGCTCCTGTTCTACTTTTAGAGACTATAGGAACCACAAGTAGCCCTGCATTCAGAGAGTGCGGTGTTCTAGTGGGGTAATAGGGTACTATGAGCTCTTTAAGATATGAAGGGGCCTGACCATAAAGAGCTTTATAGGTGAGGAGGAGGATTTTAAATTCTATTCTACATTTTACAGGGAGCCAATGTAGTGAAGCTAGTACAGGAGAGATGTGATCTCTTTTTCTAGTTCCTGTCAGTACTCGTGCTGCAGCTTTCTGAATTAATTGGAGCGTCTTAATGGACTTATTGGGGCAGCCTGATAATAAGGAGTTGCAGTATTCCAGCCTAGAAGTAACAAATGCATGGATTAGTTTTTCTGCATCCGTCTGTGACAGGATGTGTCTGATTTTTGTAATGTTACATTAATGAAAAAAGGCAGTCCTGGATGTGGGAATTAAAGGACATATCCTGAAAGATAACTCCAAGATTCCTGACAGTGGTGCTGGAGACCAAGGTAATACCGTCTAGAGTAACTATATCTTTAGACAGTGAGTCTTGGGGGTGTTCGGGGCCAAGTACAAGAACTTGTGTTTTTTAGCATCAGAAAATTGCAGCTCATCCAGGTTTTTATGTCCTGAAGACATTTAGATAACTGATTAATTTTATTGGGCTTGATTGACAAATATAACTGGGTATCACCTGCATAACAATGAAAGTTAATGGAGTGATTCCTAATAATGTTGCCTAAGGGAAGCATATATAATGTGAATAGAACTGGTCCAAGCACCGAACCTTGTGGAACTCCATGATTAACTTTAGTGTTTATGGAGGATTAATCGTTAACATGTACAAACTGAGAATGATCTGATAAATAGGACTTAAACCAGCTTAGTGCGGTTCCTTCAATGCCAATTAGATGCTCAAGTCTCTTTAATAGGACATGGTGGTCAATGGTGTCAAATGCAGCACTAAGATCTAACAATACAAGTACAGAGACAGGTCCATTGTCAGAAGCAGTTAAAAGGTTGTTATTAACTTTAACCAGAGCTGTCTCTGTGCTGTGATAAACTCTAAATCCTGACTGAAAATCCTCAAATAAGCTGTTGCTATGTAGAAAGTCACACAACTGCTTGGTGACTTCTTTCTCCAGAATCTTAGAGAGGAAGGGGAGAATCTTAGAGAGGGAGGGGAGAGAAATGGGTCTATAGTTGGCTCAAACCCCTGGGTCGAGAGTGGGCTTTTTAAGAAGGGGTTTAATTACAGCTACTTTAAAGGACTGTGGTACATATGCTGACAATAAAAAAAGATTGATCATATCCAGGAAAGAAGTGCCAACTAAGGGTAAGACTTCTTTAAGCAGCCTAGTTGGGATGGGGTCTAAAAGACAGGTCGATGGCTTTGATGTAGAAATTATTGAAGTTTTTGCTGTAAATGTGATTCAATTCTATAAGCTATAAAGCAGTACAGTACTTCTTTACACAAATACTGTCTAAAAACATCTTTTTAAAATGAGTTTTTCTCCAACTAAGATCAATTTGTCTCTGCATATTGATTTTTGTTCCACAGTGAAAGGAATGTCAAACAGTTGTTGCCTGGAAGCTGAGGTGTGAAATTATATATCTCTAAAGTTGGATTTTTGCAGCGCCAAAGTAAGTTTTTGCTCAGTTGTAGTTCAGCGCCTCTCTTAGTGCATATTATAATCAAACAGAGACACATCGAATGACTAATTTTTAGCGACCGAGCCAGTGACCGCTGGAGGTCCCTATTGTATTTGCTATCTTTCTTCTTACCTATTATTATTATTTTTAGCACCTTTGACTGCGTTTTTGCCTCCCTGAACATATATACGAAAACTCAATTTTATTTGGCAAAGTTGTCAGGCCGGTTGTAATGTGCCGAGACGTACAAAAAAGCCTCTTGGACCCATGCCCCAAACCCCAGAGGAAGTCAGCCATTTTAATTTTAATTTTTACTTTTGGTGAACTTTTCGAACTTCTCCTAGTGAATTCATCGGATCTGCTTCAAAATTGGGGTGTACAGTCAAAAAATGGTGCTGATTGAAAGTTGTGCTATTTGTACATCTACGTTGTAGGGCGTCCGTCAAAGTTGGCCATTTTGAATTCTGTGCTCATTTTTGGTGAATTTTTCGCCTTCACTCAAAAAAATTAAATGTCAATGTACTGTTGGCTATAAAACATAGTATTATATTTTAATTACTCAAAAACCATGAGTTTTTTATATCAACTTGAGTTAGTTGTGGTGTTTGAAAGAAAAGGTTTACTTGGCTGTGTTAGTTTCCCCAACTCAAAAAGCATTTCCTTAATAGAGTAGTTTGTCCCCCGTGACACCGTACATCCCCTCTAAACTCGTTCACAATCACGCGAGATTACGCTATTCACAGGAAATTACGTTACCTCTGCGGGCGCCATTATCCTTTTCGTTGCATGTGGAGAAATCCGCAGCCATCCTCAAAATAGAGGTAAGTAAACATCTTTTTATTGCCATTCTTCATAAAGCAAGGACAATTCCAGGCAAATTCAACCTGGGGCTATAGTTTCCTAATATTTT